CAAAATGAAAACATCGAAATATGAATGGCTATTAAATTCAAATTCATGTTAATCATCACAATGGAATATATCATAACTATTTCTGGTGATAGTTTTCCGCTTCGATTAATACAAAGCAAGTAAAGTAAGTAATTACTTAGTTCAATATATTCTAAATTATTTTTTCAGAAGAATTATTTCGTCTCTTTTTGATCATACAAAGGGTTTTATCTATCAAAAAAAACATAAAATATAACGACTATGATTGGATGTGTAGCCTATAAAAATCTCTATGTGCACTCAAGTGCAAGATCCAGTAGTAGATGTTTATATGGAGGGTCAAAGACTAGAAGTAGTTAAATAGTTCAAATATTTAGGCTTTACTTGGACAAATAAGGTGTCCTTAAAACCAAAGATTGATAGAGCCCTTGAAAATATTCAAAGAACATTTAGTAAATTAAAATGGATGAAAAGTGGAAAGTCTCTCTCAACAGATGTCTTGCGAAAATGTTTTCTTGCTTACAGTTTTCCATATTTTGCTTGGATATTTCCCCTATATCCATTCCTGCCCAAAACTCAGAAAGAATTACTTATAAGAAAATTTAGAAACGGATTAAGACTGGTTCATCGCTGTCCCTTTGCAAGAGCAACAGATCTTCTTCAGATAGCAAATGAAAAGTCATTAGAAGAGTATGTTAAAAAATATATAAAGAGAAAATTAGAACTGGTTGAAACATCTGATTTAGGATGCTCGCCCTTTTACAATGATATATTTTATTGGGATGCATTTCATAAAAATAAAAATGATCACCTGGGACATTTTTTCAAATGAAACGAGTTAGATATATGCGTGAAAGACATCAATCACTGCTTCTTCAATGGTTTGAATTTTTGTACGAATGAAATCCGAGTATTATGATGTGAGTAGTACTTTTCTTTTTTTCTTCTCTCGTGTTCTCCTTCCTTTCTCCCTTTTTTCACTTCTCTCATAACTTTTTCTTTTTTTCTTCGTTTTCTTCATATTTTTATCTATCTCACGTGGCTTCTTATAAATCTGTGTGGTTTCGTATATGCTTATATCGTGTATGGTCGTGTAATCAAACAGTTGTAAATGCGTACGATATCCTTGTAAGCACTTCCGAGTGTAATAATAAAGAGAGCGAAATCAAAAAAAAAATCTCTATGTGCACTATTCTACTCATTAATATTACTGAATAATCAGTGAAAAAAATATTTCTCATTATGAAGAACAAAACTCAAAACGTATTCATACTGTACAGTTTATTAGTTTTCTGTTTGGTCATGAGATCTTTTTTTTATTGACTTTTTTCAAAGGAAAGCATCACTACCAGATGATAATCATTGATGTTCTGTTTTCGGCCTGCAACATAACTAGCATACAATTGGATTATCGCTTTGAAATCTTAATAATGCTAACACTTAGAATCCTTTTCAGGTTCTTTTATTCATTTATTAAATTTTTCTCTGCCATTATATTCAGCTATAGAAATATTATATTCAAAATATGCATGTAGAAAGAATTTTAGCAACATTTTCCCAAAAAACAAATTTGATAAAACAAATATCGTGCATAGCAGCATTTTCTTGATCTATTTCGATTGCACTGTGCCAGAAAGCGTTTCATAATATGCCTGCAGTAAAACATGTATCAACGGAGGAAAAATTTCTAAAACAATATAGGTAACTTATATATCGATGTCTTGGCATTAGTATTTTAACGATATTTCAAGAATAACCGACATCTCAGTTAATTTTTGCACTTCATCGTATAAAAATATTGTTCAGATTCAAAGTAACTATTTGTCAACTGTATGTTTTCTTATACTTAGAATCAGTGTGAATCTGAAGGAAATGGTGATCCTAAACTTCTAATATTGAATAAGAAATTTTTCAATAAAATTATCAAGTCCAAGGAATCATTCGTGATCGACATTTAGATACAATGTTATGAGATTTGATACTATGAAGTATGCATGCAAAAATTTTAATATATTTTATATATTTATATAATTTCTATTAACGAGGGTTCAACACAAGCAATAAAATTGATAATGAATTATCAATCATCTATTCGCAGATTGTGCTTCTATCATCATACGTTAATGATCCTGATGATATCAAATATTTTGATTCATATCAAACAATATTGTCTATTGTTCACACATTAAAATAAAGCATTAAATCTGATCATTACTTATTAGTTTATTAATGGAAAATTTTTTCTCATAATAAATTCGATCGCTTCTGGAACAATGATACGATGTTAAACATGAAGAGTTAGTAAATGTAACTTTTTTCTTAAAATATAATGACAAAAAAAAATATCGTTTATTTCTTTTTGGCGTTTCATTAGTATATATTTGATGATCATAATAAAAAAAAGAAATTAATTATGAATCCTTTTCGTTCTTATATTGATCTTGTAAGTCAACAATCAGTCTGATTTATTATGAAGATATTCAATACATGGATTATTAATTTAAGTATTAGATCATATTATGAGTACTGCAAAAAAACGCGAATATATATATATTTCAAAGGTTATCAATAAAAAACATCGGTCTGGAAGGTTATTTTTTAGACGAAAAACAATTTATTACTGTCACACATTTCATCATTCAGAAACAAAAAGTGTTAATATTTGATAAAGCATAAAATGATTTCGACGCGCACTATCAACAAGTATCTTATTATAAGATTTTTCGATTCATTTCTATTAGGCTTTTTACAATTAGATTGTACAACAAACTCTCGAGACAATATTAATAGAAAACTCACTAGAAACAATAATTATAGTAGCTCATCAATTTGTGAAATTCGTTCATAAAGTGGCAAAAGGTTCCCATGAAGAATACATTCAAGGACATCCAGACTATTATGTAATGATTTTTCTCAAAAGATTATTAGAATCATTTATTTTTACATTATTTTATCTAAACATATCTATTTGTTTTTGACAATCTAAAATCATGATCATTGGCTAATTTTCATAAAAATAAAACATTAAAAAAAGTATTTTTCGATATGGATCATCGAATTTTGTTATCATAATAAAATGATCAGCAACGGCAAATAGTTTCTGGAGAAAGCGAAAATAAACAAGAAGTAAAAGAAGCACTATATAGTGTTAGACCTGTTTACTAGTGGAGAAGATTAAATACTAATCTTACAAAATCTTAAATGTATGAGTATGTTGATTTTCTCTGCTATTGGTACCAAGCTCACTCTTTCCCTCCCCAATCTTCTTTTCGCTAAAAATTTATTGTACGAGATACTACTTTTGTAAAGAATGTGTTAAATATTATCGATCTGATTTACTAGAAAAGCAAACAGCTTTTATTTATTTTTTTTTGTTATAATGATGAAAGAGGATTTCAATCAATACATTTGTCTTTTCTTTTTCACGAATAACCAAAGCATGGCACACTGATTCGTACTGCCTGTTGTTTTGTATGAGGATGTCAAGTATTCAAAGATATGATATAAATTTGATCGGTTGTTTGCCTATTAAAAATCAGTTGCTATCATCAAGCTATTAAAATGTTATGATAAAATCGAAAAAAATAACAACACAAAAAAATAAAGACAAATCGACACATATACACTTGCATCGTGGGTTGATCAGCAAGGTGAATGAAAAATATCTCTACTCTTTCAATATACATTTGTTGTATATTTTTTTTTCTCTACTATATCACAACATTATATTATCTTGACAATAGTAATCGAGCTATCGAAGTGTTAACTAGTTGAAATAATAAAAAACAAATAAAAAAAAATTGTATTTTTGAAATATGTTTCATTTTGAAAATGTTACACATGTTTCTTTATTTTTCATCAGGTACTTTTACAAAAAGTTTGCTCTAGTCATGGGTCATATGTTTTTATCACAAGTAACTCATTATTCAATGATAACATGCATGATCAATTTTCGTTGATTGATGTAATCTGCAGAATGTAATAGGTTTTTGTCCATCCATCATATTAGATGAGATTGACATATTCGGATGTAACTTATCATAGAATAATAAGATGTTATGCATTTATATTTTCAAGGTATGCACATACATGAGTATGAAGAGAAACGAAGTATAACTAACGTCTTGTTTACTTGTTTTTGTGCATGACTTTAGAAAAAGTACATTATACTTGTATCATCGTTTAAAAGATATCTTGTGATTCATTATTGAAGGGATCTATATAAGCCAAGGCACAAAGCATTAGTTTTACTTTTCTGCTTATATTTTTTTTTAACAACATGAATTGTCTCCTTAAAGTTGCTGTTGTCTATTTATGTATAACTCAATTTATTTGTGTAGCCGATGATTCTAAGGAAGTTGGCAAATGCCGATATTACAATGATCCGCATCTTATTCCGTTTCCAGTATCACCTGGAGCTAGTCAAGAGCAGTATATATGCCGTAATAATTGCACTGAAATACTTCTCAAAAATGATTTTGTGCAAATAATTGTTACTCCTGATCCGGCAGGTGACTATCCTATCGTTGCGGTAAATAATCTCAATACAATCGTTTCTGATATCCCATTTGTTTACTTTTAGTATACTTTGATATTTTTTGCTACCGGTGGATATTCGTTTCCTTGTGTTATTACAAACAGCATTGCAAGTCCATCCGCATCATTAACATGTCCACCAGGTACTCCTGCTAGTACTATAATGACTGGTTCGGGTCAATTTCATACTCATCTGACGGAAAATATTCAAGTCGATATTACCACAAGGGTTTGAGAATGGATTTTATGCAAAGATATATTCTACTTGTTTGATATTTAGGGAGCTCATTTCAATATTGAGATTACTCAATCGTTTGATCTTATTTCTCAATCGGAAGGTGTTTGTATTAAATGGGACTGCGAGTTCGAATATAAAATTGGTAAGCGTAGACGGAGACAGGCATCAGCAGATTCTCTCATCGATCAAATATGTGGTTGTTTCATCGATGCTGGACGAGAACAAGCTTTGGGTGAAGTTAATATCGACTACCTTAAATATTTACGCGTTGCATGTGTGTACGACATCAACACAACATTTGATCACACAGTAATGTCATAATACACTTCATCGAATGCTTTGATATGTTTAAAATTAAATTTCATGTCGCTCTATTTAGTATGCACAGGGATTAGTGACATTGATTCTTCGAGATAGCGTCAAACAATTTCAGAACGAGAAGAACTTCAATGAGTATCTCGACAAAGCAGAAGCAGTAGCTAAACAAGCAATTCAAAAGGCGCAAGACCAAGCCAACTATCTTATTAAAACATCTGACCTAGTGTGCAAAAAGAAAGGAGAACAGACCGTTTGTCTTCAACAATTTCCTGGCACTAATTGAAAATCATACTAAACGTCGAACATAGAAGAGACAATATCTTTTTTTTTTGTTTTATTCATTTCTATTATCTGTAGGACAATTAATGTAGCTTTTTATTAGTATACTCACACGAATAGTTATATTAGCGTTTTTCTATTATACAATAAACAAGACTAATGATATATGCCACAAACAGCAGGAAAACCTTGCCTTATGTCATCAATCAATTGATAAAATGTGTTTCTACTCAATGTTAAGAATGATGATTGTTTCGCATAAATGCTGTATTTTTCGAATTTTCTGATTTGTTAACAATGTTACAGTTAAAATGCCCTCGTTCGATAAAATCTCACTTTGTTTCTCTTTTTTTTTGTCTATACGATGAGTAATATTGAATTGGAATCATATATAATTGAGATCATAGATTGTTAAGTTTAAACAAGGATCGACATTATATGTATTTGAAGCACACGGCTGACGATGATAATCATTAAATTTATCATCATGTAAAGAAGATGTCACACATAAGATACACTGATTAGAATTCTAAATGGCACAGTTACTTTCCTGTTTTTTTTTCGGAAATTTCTCAGATTATAAGTGAAAAATTTTAATTTCTATGTACATGAAGTCATGCATAGTTCATAATCCTTCAGAGAATGTTTTGTATTTTCATCAGTACAAATCCAACAAGGTCGTTTGTTTTATTGAGAACCTTGATGAAGCGTGTCGCATCTCAATTAGCAGTCATACTATTTTATGCTATTGTTGGTCCTATTCAATTAGCATTATTTTTGATTCTAATGAATATTATCGATGTAAGAGTTCGAGAGTTTGGTGAAGATGCTGCTGAATAATGTTAATTTTAGACGTTTACCATGCAAACATATAGTTACCATAGGACGGTATTACTTGAAATACTTCATTGAGTGAATGTATTAGAATAAAGAATGATAAAGATGTTACTCCTAATGACAATAATGTTGATAGAAGAACATCCAATATCAGAGTCAGTGTGTATTGAAGGAATAGTTTATGGCCACATTAGAAATTGTCTCTTCGGATTTTTAACTATTCTAGAATGCAAGTCTCCGTTCGATTTGTTTTTATTTTTAATACAACCCAAACTAAGTGGCTCATCAGAAACTTTTGTGTTAATATTTAATTTTACTTAATAGTTACAATAGATTTGGTCAAACTTTAGAAACCTTGATACTTTCTAGGACTTGATACAAGTTGTGATTTTTTTTCTAGTTTTCACCAGATTTAACATTCATTTGAAATATATTTGTTAATATTATACCTATTACATACGAAGTAAATACTTGAAACCTCAGAAATCCTGATATGCGAATGGTATAAACCTTTAACACCTAAAATTTATCATTTTTGGTAATGAAAGGTTTCCTGTAAAACAGAGTATGACTAATGTTCGTAATTGACAATAGACAAACTTCGATCGTTACACAAAGTTTTAGCTTAGATACTACAGTATTTGATGCATTTTTAAATCAAATTTAAGTGATGACTCAAATTCAACGAAGTTTTATAGTGAACATCAGCACACTAATACTTGCATTTAATGCTTATGATGAACCATTTATGATGTGTTTCTTTTACATTAGTCTATGCTGAAGACAGAAAGTTACGAACACCAATATTTCCACATAATATTCGTAATGAATGAACAATCAATCGGTTTGAATCGTTTTCTTCAATCAATAAAATGATATACGGTCAATTTAAGTTATTAATTAAAACATGAGTATTCACTCGACGAAAATATTATTGATATTATTCGTGCCAGTACAATGGTTAGCATTATAGAAATGATGTGTATAAGCATAGTTCTTGTAATTCGATGAGTAAAATCTTTCAATCAAGTTTCAATTGCAGCTACAAAATGTAAGCTTGTTAATTTTAGAATTATTTTGTACGTGATTGCTGTATGTACTTGTCATACAAGATAGAAAATAGATAGGATTCAGACAAAAAAAACATCTTCGAAAAAGATTAACTCGTCATCGGAACAAGTGGGATAAGAGTAGGTTAAAGATTTCGCAAACTTTTAAAAATTAAAAAAAGAACTTCATCCGAATAACAAAACTTTGAATATTCATATATGATTCTAACAATCAATCTTTTGTTTTACCTGAAAAATGCTTGTGCTATAGCAACGCTTTGTGTATTGGAAAATTCACATGAAGATTTTACTATGCTATTATGATATGATCACAGTGCATCGGTAAATAATTGGCACCGTGAGTGTGGGTGTAATTAGCCTTTTCTCATAACCACATACATCCACACCCTTCACTGTATAAAATTCATCGATCGACTCTTTGCAAATCACTACGACATACATGAAAATCTTCTAAAAGTGAATTCTATGAAAATAGCAACTTCGGTATGTATGTTAAAGTTGTTAAAGCATCACAAATAGTTCCACATATATTTAAAAGAAGAAACAAATCTTGCTGAGCACTACTGTCATGTTTCCAGCTTCTCTTTTGATTGAGTACGAAATATCGCAATCATGAAGAAAGTAAATGTAGCCCATCAACGATACAAAACGGAAATACTTGTTTAGCAATTCGAAAAATTACTCTTGAATAAAAAATGAAACCGGACTTAAATGAGTGTGATGTTTGACTATTTTGCATGATTACAAGAAGTAATGAGACGGTGCAAGAAAGAAAATGGCAGCAGCAATTCAAAATATCTTGTTTTTTTAATCCAACGCCGTGTTTCATCTGAAAACGATAAATAAAACGTTGCAACAGAAAAAATTAATAAAAGAAATGGTCGTTTTGGGTTACATTAGTTTGACCGAAGTATAGAGTATGCTCTTGCAATTTTTCATTTCTCGTTAACCATGCACTGCGAAATCACCACTGAGTAATCAGGAATAATGAAATTGAGTGTAGAAACTATTGCATAAAAAACGGATTACTTTATCTTATTTAACAAAAGAGACTTGAATCTCTGATAGACTTTTGTCCTGCTGGATAATTACCTTAAACATGTAGGAATGCGTTATTATTTAAATATCATTTATTGTCGGTAAGTTTTTCATTTTTTTGGTAATACTTTCAATAACCTTCGGCAATGCAAATAACAATCGTTGATTGTTTTTCTCTATCAAGTGAATAAAAGAACAGACAAAAACTCAATTCTCCCGTTTGTTGTCTTTCCTCGAGCAACTGAGACGAAAGTAACTTAATAGCTTCGCATAACTTTCTAATAATTCTCCGACATCAGTCTTTCCTTTTAAAAATATCTCCTTCAAATATGAGATCCAATAGGAGCTTGCTTTTCGTACTGACGTGCCGTGATTTCGATTTAGTCTATGGTATCAATGATGGAGACAATAATTTCAAGGTCTTACTAACAGAAATTTCTCAATAAAAATATTCAATAAAAAATCCAACGAAAACGGCCACGTTTTTATACGTGAAAAGTGTACATTTTGATGCGCTAAAATGAGAGGTTTGTACGCACGATAAATTCATTTTTTTCGTTCTTTGTCTCTTGAAGTTGAAAAGTCTGTTGATCATAGTTGATAAAATATGTTGTTACTTTAGATGTATCTTTTGCTGAATACAAATAGGTATATTAGATTATTTGATATGCAAGTCTTGTTAGTGCGTTGAACAATAAACCGTTACAAAAGACAATAGTTAGATATTTTTAAATGTACATTTTACAACCTTAGACACCTTGATAGTAAACAAATAGCTTCAGTTTTCGACTAGAGGGCTTTTGTATAAGTGTAGAGAAGATTACAGTTGCAGATGTGGTCGTAGGTCTGTAGCTGTGCCTTTCTATGTGTTTGTGTGAGGCTGATCTAAGAACTCACACTCACATTCACACCCTCAATTGAAGACACAGTACTTTGACAATCATGAACCACAGAAACAAAAAACTTGATTATGCTGGTTAAATTCTACTAATATTCTTTCATCATTAAATACCTTTTATTTACGATTTGCAAAAACAAGCGAGCAGCTCTCACCAATATGACGAGCTGCAGAAAAGTATTTGCTCCACGTCTTCAATGATTGACGTGGCCGAACGAAAGAGCTCGTTTTCAAGGTAGAGAAAATAAATAACTTCCACTTTAAGAATATATTTGCTAATGCCAAATGACTACCTGAACCGGACAAAAAATATATACATAGCAATGAAAAAAATCACCTCTTCATGTGTTAACCGCAAAAAATTCCCACCACTTGAAGTTTGTTAGCAGTACGTGAATCTATGTAAACTTCATTCAAAATTTGCTTAAATAATAACAAGCCATTGAAGTGTTCATGGGCTACTCACCTTGAAAAAATGTAATTTATTTTTTTGTACGTACCAACCTTCTCCCTATTATGCGAGCGGTAGTACAATAACAAAACCTGATTGGTGATTCTGAACAGAAATAGTAATCGGACTGCAAAATTCATTGTTAACAAGCATACCAGAGAACAAAAAAAAAGCGAGAAAAAAAAGAAGGACTGTTATTGTGTACAAGTAAATCTTAAATCAGTTTTTGTTTTCATATAACAACGATAGCATTCTTTGTACAAATTTAACAAAGAAATGTAAGTATGGAAACGTGAAAAGGTGTAGAACTATTCATCTCCTCGATCTTGTATTGATTTTCTCAATATCTTAGATCAATCTATGTAGGTTTGCCTCTTACGTAGAAGTAAGCTACTCCCCGATAGAGCTCGTTGAATTGAATAACATTAATTTTGTCATAGTGAGTTTTCTTGATTGGCAAAAGTTCTATGATAGGCTTTTACTTGACATTTGGCAATAAATAATCTGAAATTACCAAATGTACGTGAATAAGAACTTATCAGCTTTTCAAGCCACATGTTCTGTAAGTAGCATAATTTTTTTGTAATTTTGTGTGAGTACTGTGTAGTCGAAAGCTCTTTGTCATGCAGGCTGCTTTTCAAATGAATTTCTTTACACGCGCTATGCTCAATTTAATATTCAAATGAGTCCTGATTTGGAATCGTCAGATGATCTACACGTGAGCCTCTTATTTTCCGCACTTTTATGCTTTGATAAAAAAGGATACTCACGTATTGTTGAAATTTTACCAAAAACATATAGCCAAGAGTGTTGTTTTAGAAACATGATTAGTTCATGAACTTACGACTTAATCTAGACTATCAGCTGTTGCCGAAAATTGTTTTTGCTCGATTTTGGCTTATTGTTGATAGGTTTGTTACAGGAGAAAATTCAGAAAAAAACACTACTCTAAGTGATTATTCAAAGTAAGTTCTGTCAAATTCTAGTTGCTCAACGGAGCCTACTCTTTGTCCAAGATCTAAGCATGCGAGGAAAATACAAAAGCTGTGTGTATGCTAGAAAAATGGTTGATTTCCTGTTATTCTGTTGAATGAAAGCTCATTGATCAGTTTCGCATTTGGAAAAACATGATCTGCACAAGAAGCAAATGAGTGTTATTTAGTTGATTGTACTGAAAGCCTACTAATTGTAGTGTTGAAGATTCTGTTCATAGCTTTAACTACTTTAAAACATACTACATTGTGATGTCGTAGTCAACTCTTTGTTTTGTTTCATTAACAGGAGTAGTAAGGTGAGAGTACGGGTGTAAATGTTAGTCTTGTGTCGGCACACAACCACACCTAGAATAGAACAGAGTTTATCTTTACTCTATTACGAACAAAACGTAATGTTGTTCGAGTCACTCAGAAAATCATTAGCGGTCGTCTCTTAAAAAGGGCCGAACCACATCATGTGTTGTCTGTATAAGAGTTGAGAAAACCTGAAAATTTCCTAACGCAATCATTAAAACTTGATTGTAAGTGTAATATGTGTTGCATAGAAAAACTAAAGTTGATTCTTGATGGTTAAGTCAGTCGTTGATACTTAATACTAACGAAATAAGTCGTGTCTACTGTTTATTTTTTTAATATGATTGCTGAAGGTGTCACTCAAAACTTAGTTTTAATTTAAGGTTGATAATTCATTCCCGAAGTAGCATAAGCTTTAAGATAAGTTTCAGACGAAGTACATGGTCGAAAGTCTGAGTGAGGATTTATGGTGTGTAGTGTTTAGGTAAGTGTGCTTCACTAACAGCTAAAAGAAGATTCATACAGTGTGTTCACATTCATACTCGCACCCAAATCTACATTCACACTCTTCGAAAGGTCAGTTTTTTGGTGTTTCCTTTTGATGTCAGTTAATATCCAGTTATTACGCATATATAGCCAGATGTTTTCTGTCTTGGTTTTATCATTAGATCTCAATTATGGCTTTAGTCGAAATGTCAATTTAATACTAGTATTTTACGAAAGCCTTCAGTTGCCACAAAACTGAGGTCTAATGTTCTAGCTGTTGAGATCATTAGTCAGTTTTAGAAAGTATAGACCGAATTTTAGAGAAAAGTTGTTGAAGATTGTTCATAAAAATGGTGTCTAAATTGAATTACAACGAACTCGTAAGAACATGATGAAGCTCACCGATTATCATTGGGTAAAAGTGACCTGAGAATAAGTTCTAGGATTCGGCTGTTCTTCTTTGAGTTTCTTGGGGATGACAAGTGTTTCGAAATAATTCCTTTCCACAAGTTATTGTATGAAGTGATAACCCATGCCTATCGATGAAAGACTCGATTATTTGGTTCGAATCATTCATCTAAACTACAAAAAAAGGAAATGAAGCGAGAAAAAATTAATTTCTTCCATCAAATTATCTTCTGATTCTTTCAAATTCTAATCAACTGAATAAAATTTCGAGTGGATTTATATAATGTTGTTATGAATCGTAGTAGCTAGACGTTACATTTTCATAATAAACAAGGAAAGCGTAACGGTGACAAGGTACAACGTAGTTAAGTGGATCGATGAGATAGAATAGAGGGACGCAATAATGATTCAGTTAGATCTTAAGTTACCCATTTCTGCTCAGTCTTCATAAATCTGTCAGAGAATTTTTTCTACGTTTATTGATATCTGGCTACTTTCTCTTTCCATCTTATGTAGATTTCCATTAAAGAAGAAGACAGAAATCACACATTCGTAAACACAGCAAAGAAAAACAGCTGTCCGTTTGCATTGTCTGTTTCCTTTCGTAAATATACCTTTACAGCAATGTTTTGGCACTATCCTAGCCATTGCTCTCAATTCTTAACGAAAAATTCTTTTAAATATGATGATCAGAACTTATGGATCAATATAAATATATATATGTATAGTAGAGAGTGACAGTGAGTTGTACAAATGCTACGTTTCCATTTGTTTGTTCCTGTCTAAATCGTATTGTTATAATGAATCATTGACATTCTTTTCTAACGTTTTCTTTTTAGTAATAGATTTTGAAAATAAGAATGTCTTTGGATTCACTCGGCATTAGTGACGAAGCTAACACGAAAAATTCTAATTCGATTATGACATACCGTCCGCTTCAAGAGCATTCTAATTATGTTGTTCATTATATTTCGTCGACATTCGTTAAAATTGAACAACTGAAAACGGATCTTAATGCAGAGTATCAGCAAGAAAAACATGCACTAACTGAATTGAACGAACAATTGCGTTTGATGATTGATCGTGTTGAACAATTGGAATCACAAAATTCAACATATGTTGCAAAACTGACCGATTTGCGACGACAAGGATTCATTGTTGCTACTACTGGTAAACAAAATGATGAACATTATCGTCTACAGAGTCATATAATGGCAGTCAACTACGAAAAAGTTAGCTACGAATCGGAAATTGAATTCTTTCAGCTGCAAATTAAAATCTATCAGCAAATGATCCAAGCTGAAAATCAATCAATCGATGAACAACGATTGAAATTAGAACAAGAATTGAATCAATCTGCATCAGCCCTTGTCAATCTACGTACATCCTATGAAGAATTGGGAAACAAAGTTGGAAGTTATCGTACAACGTGTAAAGAGACATTGCAGCAGTATGTGACATTGGCGAACGATTGGTCCGTTTCGAAGAAACAAACACATGAATTAAAGATTAGAGTACAAATGACGAAGAATCAAATTAAATTTTTCAAGACTTTATATTCTTATGTATCAAAGTCAGTATCGATTGTTTGTTTTCTTCATTTCACGGAGAAATTTTTTCCTTTTGCTTCTAGTCAATGCAGTTTATTTCTGACAGATATGTCTGATTTTGCTGAATTTTGGAAGGTTGAATGGAAACAAATTATTGAGAAAATACGTCATGATTTCGAACTATTATATGGAGCAATGCATCAAGAAACAATCAGTTTTTATGAAAAGAAAACTCAGGAAGTACAAGCCGAATTAGAACAAATAACACAATATCAACCAGTTGAACAGGAAGCGCATATAAAGATTCAACAGCAACTCCAGAGCGAATATGAAGAAGTGCAGAAGAAATTCGCTTCTGAAAAACAAGTTCTACTGGAAACGGAAGCAACTTATTGTGAGTATAATATGATATCTTGTTTTCTATTGGTTCTCTTTTTTTTTAAATAAAACATTTTTTTTATATTGATTAAAGCTAAATTAGAATCCGAACTGAACACGATTCAAACGCAATATGAAGAACAATTCACAGCACAGGCCAGTGATTTAGATTATTTACAGGAAAGTATCCTGGCTATGGTGAGTAGTATCGAAGAAATGCGACGAAGGTTAGAAAGTTTGCTGCTAGTCAAAACACGCAACTTAATTTTCTTTTTGCACACTATTTCTAGAAAAATCAGCTTACAAAGTGAAATTATTATTTATCGTCATCTATTGAGCAAGCAAGTAACAGTGCAACAGATTGAGATACCCTCTTCTTCATTAGTTTCAATTACAACAAAAAGAAAATTCGTGGTACAAAGCCAATGTCACGGATCGATTAATATCGGTAAGCGCCGAATTGAAGAAGAAAAAAGAACGAGTCTGATTGATACTTCTTCTTTTTATTGTTTTTTTTTTATAAAAGAATGCCCTCTCGATAGCACACACATATGTTTGACGAATCAATCGGCTAGTGAAGCTATCGATATTTCAAGATGGCAGTTGATAAGGCATGTTGATTCAAAGGTAATACTTCAGTATACAGTACCCGATGGACTTCGACTTCAGCCAGGCAGTGAACTAAAAATCTATTCGGAATCAGGTGCTGCAGTTGCTCAAAAATTGTCGAATCAAAGTGCTTTCTCGTCATCCCTACATCAGGAACTTGTCCTTAAAGATATATCTTCAATGGGTATGTGATTGTATCAAACTACTCTACTTTTTATTTTCTTCTACCGCTGCCTAGGTATTGGTAACAAAATCGAAACACTACTACTTGATGAAAATGGCCAAGAGAAAGCATCATGCATACAAACGGCGACAACTGATTGGACAGTATGTGATTGATACCAGCCATATGAATTCATTTTGATGGACAACTAGACTGACAGTTTGATTTGCATTGAGCCTCTAACCTCTTAGTATCTTTTAATAGAAGCATTTAGATGTTTAACTAACACTAAACTAACAAATGTATTATCGAAATTTTGAGTGCACTTCTTTCATTGTTCAACAGATTTGTTGAGAATCATAAATCTTTTTTATCATGCATCTCGAAGAATATCCCAGGGGTTCTTGTATTATATTTGTTCAAATCATGTTTTTTCATGAGAGAAAACTTTAAGAATTCGAATACGGCAGTTATCGAACAAGCTTTCAAATTTCTCTTTACTGGTGATGCTGCCGATTTATTTCCTTCTCAGCATGAGGTTATCGCCATTGAACTGAATTTCATGGAATTGATTTTTAAGACCACATTAACTTCGATTCGAATAATACTGTGAGTTTCACATCAATCCTTAGATTCTTTTTTGTTTGTGATTTCTCTTGATAACAAACATAAAATGGAACATTAGCTTTTCGCCACCATTCGGATATAGTTTTGAAGTATTATGGTATAGATATATTCACAGATCAGCCTGAGTTTATGTAATCAACAAGCTCTAGGGTCAGACCTTCGATTAAACTGAATTTCAAACAGACACTAGTTGCTATTTTTCTGTCTGGATTTTCGTCCAGTTAAACTTCAGTTGAATAGAAAGAAGTTTCTGCTATCCATATTTTACATTATTCTTTTATTATCAGTTCACAATTATATCGTCAGGGCACACCATCAATGACGATGCTGAATATATTATGGAGTCAGCCTACTAAAAAGTCGTTTCTGATTTTAGCGACGATACTTTCTATGATGCTATTTTATAGAAAAGACACTAACCTTTAAGAGAAAATGATGAGTTTCACACATCATTTAGTACTAAAAATATGGGTTTCTTCAAAAGCTGTTTCGGACAAACTCGCTGTGGCCAATAAATTACTTCAGAATAATTTAAGTTTCAGTATAACATTAGTCAAAAGATGGATGAAGTGTGGGTGTCGGACTTCTCTCCACTCACCCACACAGCTTCTATTTATATAAGTATTTGTATGTATAATAAAAATAATCCTTAAATTAAAAAACAGAGAACCTTGGGCTGCGCGATCAAAAAAAAGCGTAAACTGAGATCAATATTCACTTTTTTGAGGGAGAGACTGGTCTGAAGAGATATTTTCTTATTTACTATAAAGAAAATTGTTACCAGTCCTATGATTTCGTTCAAATTCGAATTGAATTTGATCATTTGTTTGATATACGATAAGTAATGAATCCAAAACACATTATTACATCAATCATTTTAGATAATTTTGATTTTTCAAATGTCATTATTATCTGTTGAATTCAAACGATCAGCAATATAATCTAAGCCTTTTAAACAATGCTTGCCAGAAAAAAATGACTTGTGCTTATGGAGCAGATGTGAGTATGCGTGGGTTGATCTTCTATTCAGTCATGCCTACACCCATCCAGCCGTACATGATCTTTTCATTATTTCATACAATGCTCCTTGAAGTTTCATTTCATATAATTTTAATTAAAATCTTAGTTCAAAATGATAAATCTCAATTGAAATACATAATTCCATTCTTTTCTAAACATGTTGATTCTTGTGATTGATTCTCATTTTTAATTCAAGCAGAGCTTAAATAGCTGCCTCGCGGAGATTGTCTCTCACATGTCCTCATAGAAAAACTCGGTAGTGGATGAAGAGAAGATCCATACTCACATATATCCATCCATACATTTGAATCGAACACCAAATCGATCTTCTGGTCAGTAGCAACATGATCAAGGCAAATTATTTCTATGACAAAACACGAAAAACAATCACGGTTTTTTTTTCAAACAATTCAATTATTGAAATACAATAAAGAATCCTCAGTATACAGACAATGTTTGTCTAACTCTAAGATTTATCTTAATACCGAATAAGACACTGATCATTATGATGAGCTTATCTACAGGATTCTAAGATTGGATGCGGAAGGAATGACATTTGTTCCATTTCGAACAGTTCCGACAAAGAAGATGGTAACATTCATGATTAGCATTATTTTTCTTGACCAATTGGCTTATATTTAAGCAGCTTTGCTTCTCAAACATTCTTAGGATGCATAAAAACCACTATTTCATGCACAGTCCGAAGAAATCAACTATTTTTTCTTTATTATTGATGAATCACTATGAGCACAACGAAACAAGTCTTGTCATTCTTTCACCATCTTACTCATTTTCTTGTTCTCATTTTCACTTCAGACATGCAATTTGCTTATAAGTTTACTTAATGCAAATGTTTTCAAGAAGGAATCAAATCTAACACGTATGAGTGTATGTTTGCCTTGTTCCATAACACGATGGGAACAATCCACCACTCTTTGTTGATATATAACAATGCGAGCACAACTGTTTGCATTTTTAGTAGACATTGAGCAATTTCTCGATATGCCGACATAAACAAGTGCGAAGTTACTGGTCACAATACAGTTTCTCTCACTATTAAACATGTGGTGACAGGTTCCTTCGTAGTTTTCCAGGTTTCCCCACTGAAGAACCTTCCAGGCATTAGACTGTGAAAATATAAATTATTCAATGACCAATCTGATTATTTGTCGATTTAACAGAAAATATAAGAGAATGAGCTCACTAAAATGTCCACCTTATTCACATGATACTCAGAATCGAACAATGGCTGATTACTTTGACTATTTCCATGTTCTGTGTCTATCAGACGATCGTGTCAAAATATTTCAGTTGTTCACAACTGCTTGCTATACCGATTTGCTCCACTCAAATGTTTTTGAGCGATCTTAATCATGCACAGTTCAAACTTCATTGCATGAATTGGATATGAGTTTAGGTGAAAGTGTAAAAGTGTAGTATATTTGAGCAAAGACAACACTATCATTCACATCAACACGAAACTCAAAAAGCAACCCAATGTCAAAGTTCACACACATGTATGTATTCACACTTATACCAATTTATCCATTTCTTCAAGAGCATAAATGTGAGCTACCTAATGTTTTACTTCAAATATATTTTAAAAGTTAACAAGAAAAAGTAAAACAACAATTAAATGACGCTATTCGTTAATGCAAATATTTTAATTATTCAATGAAATTTCTTCTAATGGATGGATCTCCTAGTGAAAAAAAGAACAATTGTTGAATTAGAAAATTACTGAGTACTAGAAACACTGACGCGTTAATGGTTGAAGAAGAGTTAGAGAACTGCGCAAAAAATGTTATTATGATATTGAAATAATTGTCTGTGAAAGCTACAAAAATATAGCGCTAAAATAACAATAGGAAAACTATACAGCAATTTAATATATTGATGGAATCATTGGTTATAGTTCCTGCACTTTTAAATTGATGAAATAAAAATTGTCATGCTTATTCTTCGATTTAAAAGAGTATGGTTTTTTTTTCTATAAAACAGTGAAGTACCTGCAGTCTATTTGTCTGTATATTATTATCGAAAGCATATTTCAAAACATGTAGGCAATTGAGTTTTTTAACTAGTGAAGACTGATTTCTATTCCACTATGAAATGACAAAAAGCCAAAATCAGTACCGATCCGAAATTACTCTTTATATTTTGTTAAGTTTCCATAGTGATTTTCACTTACAGAATTCATGAATTATATTGGTTAATGACATAAGTTCTAGTTTTTAGTTCTTAGTCATTAATAAATCTGAAAAAAGTACATTTATGTTCGGGGCAGAAAGAAATATATTACAGTACTTTTTACGAGAGAAAAATCTTTTCTAAAAGTTCTTCAATCAAAAGCATTTACTCAGCAGTGTATAGATTGAAAAATCCGATAGAAAAATAGTTGTCAATGGATACAACGAATTTTGATGAGTGATTCTTGTATAGGAACTCGTTGCAGTATTCTGCCAAAAATACTGTTTAATCTTGATGGAAAAAACTTGCAAGGTTATACGTCTAGATTTGGTCTATCGAACCATAGGGCTAACTTATAGCAAGTTATTCAATTTTAAATGAGAGATTCTCTGAACACAGAAACCTTTCATCGATTTTTTCTGTCTATATAAACCCTAATTTGGTAATCTACGCTATTCTCTGTGTATAATTTGATTATTTCAGCTTAATTGTAAGGGCTCGTACGAAAAAGTTTGAAAAAATGTCTGTCAGTAAGTGTAAAAGAAGTAGGATGTAGATGAGGGAGAGACAGTGAATCGAAGACTCTTTTTCAAGTATATCCTCGTAAGTATCGAATTTCTGTGAACAAAAATTGAAGTATTTTACCTATAAAATGTCCTACAGTATTTGACAATATCAAAAATAAAATTGCTCTATAATAGTGTTTTTGAAAATGTTGGTCACAACTCAATTTGATTGGTAAACTGCGAAATAAACAACTTTGAATATTGAATCGGAAGATTGTGGCTCTCTATCACGATAGAACCAGAAATCTTTCAAAAATATTCATGTACTTTTATTTGTAATTGAATAATAGTAATGTACCTATGAACCAGTCTTTTCTATGATTCCATCTTGCTATATGCGAGCGCTTCTCAAATGAGATATTTCATGTCTAGAATAATTGTTCATTTTTTTTCATAATTATTCTTTCTTCATCATTTGGATTTAAAAGACTTTAGTCAATCGACGATTATTAGAATCAGGTAAGTGTAGCCTATTTAGAAAAATCGATTAATCAAGATGAGAGATTATCAAATTTTTTTTTGTTTTGCTTCGTTGGATAACATCAGTACTCAACGATGGAAAGTACTTCGTTCGTGACAACGCGATCTGTGTAAGTATAAAAATATAGTTAAGCTGATGTATAATGTGAACTCATTAAAGTAAGAAGCAAAGACAAAGGCTTGGTTTTCTACTTGGCCATCTTAGTTAGTTATTTTTGTGTTGATTGTTGTTGCAATTACTGTGTGGATAGTAGTAACGCGTTCAGGTTTATTTTTCAAAAAGATATATACGCAGCAAACAATAACAAGTACCACTACAAGAGAATCGACCAGTAGCAGCAGTAGAACAACAATCAGACCTACAATGGCGACTACAACTCAAGGTAATAAGACAGATGAGTTGTTCTCAAACTATCTGTTTAACAAACAATGATTTTCGTCCAATCGTTCTCCTTTCGTAACGTTCGCATTGAACTCAAAACCAGCACGAAATGCTTTCAGTATATTACTGAAGGTTTTAAACTATGAAATAGAATCGATTCATTCTTCTTCAACGAACATTTTATCGATGATAAGTATATTGCCTAAGCAAGCTAGATAGATAAACATATTGAAATATCTATCGCAATTAGTTAGGCTAGTGAGTTTGATTGATTCTATCTTTTATGTATCTGCAAGAAAAACCGGTGGAATCAAGGTACTTTTGTTGTTGCTGTATAGTTTAACCCTCATTTTCAAACGAGTTTCAACATAGAAGCCACCGTAATATTTGAAAATGCTTGTTTTTATACGAATCTTATAAATTTCATTCGAAATAATACCGATTGAGAAAAATCACTGTTTAGAAGCATAACGATTTGAAATTAATTATGAATTATTTAATTATCAATCTGATTATTTTTTCCTAGTTCAACAAAAACTATAAGTGAGTGGATTCACTGACATATCCACCTTGTTCAGATTTTACTGATAATTAGTTAATGATTCATAGTTCTAATTGTTTTTTATTGTCTTAATTTATCGGGTGACTGTTTCAAAAAAGTATAGTTGTTGGTTTCCGTTTAATTTATCATTTTCTTCCGTGTCTGAGTGAATGTGTAAGATGTGTACGTGGTTGTGAGGATATCGTTAAGGATGTAGAGGTGCGAAGTCGGGTGTGGATGAAGACAAACTCCTCACATACATCAGAACACAAACTGAAATTAATTTTGATAAGCAATGCCACACTCACTCTAAAAATAAATTAATACGCCACTTTTATTACCCTAGCTATAAATGCTAACATTTGAGTTGCTCAAGAAAACATGTGCAAACAGCTTAAAAGTAATAAAATCAATTTCCTGACTCAATCCAAACTAAAGCACAAAATAGACCATTCATTTCTATATTCTTTTTATATTTAAGTCAATTTTCCACTGTTGTTTTTAAACAACTGAATTAAATTTCCTTGAAATTGTTTTTTTAATAACCATTTCACTAAACTATCCTGAATACATGAATTGATCATCTGATACTTTTACTAACATCAGCTCTCTCCTCAGATACAACAACTTCTTTTATGAGCAGTAACATGACGATTCTGTATAGATACGATTTATTTGGTGATGATTTAGCGTGGGCAACTTTGAGTGATTATACAATGTGCTGTAATTGGTGCATCTCTAATAGCAGCTGCCTTTCTTTTACATGGGGTCTCCCAGAACCTGGACCTTATGCATATATGTGTCACTTGAAATATGCTATTCTAACTTCAACTGTATTCTCTGTGGATGTTAGTACACACTATTAATAACTTCAACTCGGAGCATATTGTCGGAACACAGTTATCTATTTTCTATCTGGCATGAATATTTGCTTCGATTTAAAATGAAACGATAGTTTTTGCCTATTTATTTTCTTAGAACGAATGTAACTTGGCATCTGAGAATATATGCCTGTTATAGTTGCAAAATTTAGACAAATAAATATAGACAACAAAAGACTTTAGAAGAATCTCTGAGTAAGAATATACCAGAATAAGCTCAACTTTAAGTGTGAGTGTGCAGACCTACCATGATGTCAACATTTCATCTAAGCAATCAGGATCTTCAGATGGTAGACGTTTCGATCCACGAATGAATCAGAAATTAAATTGAATCTATACTGTCGCATGAAGCAATAGTAGATCGTATTTTCAGTAGTGTGTATGATGTGGGTGTGCAAGCATGGATATCCACACCCATACCCAATCTATTTCAAACTATTCGTCTTCTAACAATTTTTGAAAAAATATTCCTCAGCACCATCATTTACACAGTTTTCGCAATACATTCAAATATTCTTTTCACTTATTTTATGTCGACACAAATACAAATTCTATTAATTACATTGTATTTTCTAATATTATTTGAATATTTCGGAAGTGTAATTGGTACTAAACCCATAACATCACATGGTAATTTTTCTATGGTCGGCTGACGTTGAAATCGTACAATCTACATGCAAATAATACAATTAAATATCGTCGAAGTTCAATGAAATGTTTTACGTGTTTGATATAATTTATAAAAGATGAACCTAGTATTTTAGCTCAGTCGTTCCAATATAGCACCCAATCGTTTATTATCATCACGAGCTTCTAGTTCCTCTAAAAAAGTATATGCATGATCTTCTAGAATCTCTTGTGTTTCCGTACTATATTCGTCAAGTGGTATTTCATCTTCAAACCATACTTGCCAACGATGATAATTATTTTGACCTAAAATTAAATTCATTTGATAATCTACATTATTTTGTGCAATATCAAAAAGATTTTTTAAAACAATTTTGCTATTCCATAACCAAAAACAGCAGTTACGACTGGCAGTTGGCCAACGTAAAGGATCATGAACATAGTCACCAGTACCTAAGGACAATACGAATATGTCTTCACTGCGACAACCGTACCGTAAAGCCTCTGAATAAGCAGCTATGGTTGGATTATTCATTTGAACACCACCGTCTACATAAGCCGAATAGTCAAATGTATGTGGTCGAAAATAAGTTGGCGCAGCTGTAGTGCTCATGAGAATATCTACAATAGAAGCAGGTCGAATATTCCCAGTTCGTGAGTCATAGCGTGTGAAAAGATAAGTACGAGTATGATCAGCTTGTACAGCTGGTACGACGACATCCGTTAGAGAATTACATATTAAAGCACCTTCAAAATACTTCTTGAATAGAAGTTCACGGCCGATTCTCGAATAGCGAGATGATTGCGTACACCATCGATAAATTAAACGACGGCGTGTTGCAGGAACAAAAATATCGGATGCATGTCTATTATACAAATAAACAATATCTCTGGCTGTGTATATAGGCTCTGTATTATTTGCAGCAGGAGGCATAGAGAGACCACAAGCAATAATAGCACCCGTTGATGTACCAGCTAACATCTGAAATATGGATGAACAGTGGCGTCTTGTTCCTCTTTCGATTGCTGTTAACCAGATAGCTGGCATAACACCTCTAAAACCACCACCATCAATTGACAAAATATTATACAACGATCGGTCATGAGTTCGTCGTATCTCATTCGTTTGACTCGCTGTTATTAATTTTGGACGTTCAAGTAGTATACGTTCCTCGTCTAATCTTTGTTGTTCCATTGCTTTTTCCTTCGCTAGTCTTTGTTCTCTATTAGCTTTTTGTTCGATTAGTGTTTTTTCTGTTAATGCCTCTTTATATCTGCGTTCAAACTTGAAAGATTGTTCAATAGTTTCTTTTGCTTGATCATTATGTCCAATTTTTCGTTGTGCTTTAGCTAATAAAAACCATAACTGTGCGGAATCATAAGAACGACTTAATTTTTCTAATTTTTTCTTTGCACAATGGCATTTACTTAACTGTATGAGGCATCTGCAGTAACCTATGGTAGCAGGATACCTTAATGTAATGTTTTTCTTCCACTTGAGGACTTTGGAATAATGGTAACATGCCGTTTGCCATAAAGCTAGGCAATTGTCATTTTCTTCTGCACTTTTCTGATAATGCCACGCCAGCTTAAAATGTAATACAGCTGCATCATTTGGACGAACCTCAAGTTCGCGATGCAAATTATACAAATGTGAACTAGACGAAATGCAAAGACCAATTACTTCTCTGTCATGTTCAACCACGTAAATCATGGGAAGTGTTCGGCAATAATTGGTGACATTAAACACATAGTTTTGGAAATTAGGGTCCATTTCGACAGTGCATCGGTCGAACGCTATCCGATATTTTTTACTCAATGCTTCTAATTCGTTCTCATCTAAATTGAATAATCGATGTTCCCTTAACGATTGTCCACGAGCATGTAAGGCACCACTCAATAGTGTGTCTAACACTTCTGATTGCGTTATCATATCATTGTCAATCCTAATTGCGCATTCACAGTTAATTAACGATCCATCAGCAATTTTTATCTTTCGAATATTTGATATATCAAAATCAGTAGGAATATTATGAAGAGGAGTCTCATCTTGAATACCAAATTGTACCGATTCGTCATCCATATTTGCATGGCTTTCAGTTGCAATTGAGGGGTATAATCTCTCAACACCAGGCACTTGACGCAATGGTGGAACTGAAAAACGAATCATTCATTTCTAAAGCATTAAAGTTCAGTACATCCTTACAACAACAGCCAAAAATGCTGCCTCGACATTTTGGAATGATAAACCGTCGTCGCCATTGACTCATTGTAGGATTACCACGTTGAGTTTGTAAGAGTAGCTGATTAATTCGAGTTCAAATAAAAATGAAATTTTCAAATAACATAAGGACGCATTAGGCAAAAGCAAAAGATAAAAGTTTATCTCAATTATAAACTTTATTTCAGAAAACGACCTTTCAATACTTGTGGCATAAAATAGTGTGGCTTTAAAAGTAGAGGCCAAAGGAGTTATGCTAAGTGAAAGAGATCAGAGTCAGGGTGAGGGTAAAAGAGGCTAAATAGGACCAAGTCTAGACTGAGAGTGAGAGCAGAAGGGTTATTCAAGGCTCAACCATGGCACATATTACCGATTTCTGTTTTCCAGAGCATCAATCGAACCTCACTGATATGAATATTTCTAATACTTTCTTCTTGGTATACTTCAATCTCAAAAATAGTATTTGGCAATGTACTTGTTATAAAAACAAAAAAGTTAGTATCGATAACAAGATTTCAAGATATTAAATAGCGATGTATTCAAACTGACACTAACTGAACGAAATCAGTATTGAACAAACCATTTTAGTTGTTCGCTTTCATTTCTCTTTCATACACATGATAACAGAAAGATGAAAATTAAAGAAAAAATTGACAAAATTAGACAAGAAAGGTTGAATTCGATAGTGAAGATCGAAAAAAAACACATAGCAAATATTCCTAAGATAAAGAGTAGAAAACAGTTTTCTTTTGTTTTGGAAGAGTAGAGTCCTTGCAACAGAGGCTTTCAATGCAATGCACTACAATACATCACGGGTCATAAAGTTGCACCATCACATTATGACATGGTACAGTATTGCTGCTGCCTAATGACAGTCTCTGATATTTCCACCAGTTTGTCCTACATAACTTAGTAATATTACTATTTTAAACTGCTTTCGGATGATCTATATGCATCTGTTTCTCAACAAAGACGAGTATCAGGTTTTGACCGCAGAACAACGTATACATAGATTTAGTGAGGACGATTCTGTCTATTTGGTGGTGCATAGATCATCAAATTCTGTAGCATACGCGTAATTGTGTGAGATTTGACTCGCTTCTGTACGATTCTGGTTTTAGAATACCATGCCACAATCCAAATCGTGTAAAACCGAGTCAAATCTAACTCAACTATGGGCACGCAACAGAAACTGATGCTTTATACACCATTTGATACATGAAGTCTTTCTCTAGGAATCATATATATCCTGTTCTAGAATTAAAAAAACATTCTGAAACTTATAATCGTCTTTAAGTTTACTTATTTAGTAAGTGGTACTTTTCAATGGTATCATTTTGTTGTCGTATAAATTTTGCCAAGGGAAGGGAGCAACATAAAATAAATAATGGATGGAGACTACTAATGCATTTTCTTCTTCTTAACAAATGCTATGTACCGTATATCAGAACTTAAGAAAACTTTTCCGATATCGTCACTTTCCTTTCTACTTTTTCTGCTATAAGGTTGTTTTTCTTGCTCTCATTTTGTTCTGTCATCTTTCCTAGTATTTTTTTATTCATTCGATGCTCTCATCTTTTTGAACAAACTTCCGATGGAAAAAAGGAAGGAGACTAGTTTTGAGGGCATGACGGGTGTGGGTGGAGTGATGATGTGGATGTAAATAGATGAATGTGAAAGAGAGTGAATATATGACTGCAACGTCCACACCCACATCCATCATCAGTTTCTCCACATTGTATAAGTCGTGGTCAAGAAAAGCCTGCTTTTTTGGAAACTTGACTGAAAGATTACCTATACCGCCCTGAGAGGCCAATTACAGGTTCGGATTTCTCGACTTGGAAAGCCTTTGATCAAATTTTGTGGAAATCATGATTTTCCTTCGACAGCCATTTGTTGAGGAAAGGATCAAAACCACGAATCTTTCGTTAAACTGTAAGTGTTGACGTAAGGTTAACTTCTCTCTCCTAATGTTCATCAATACTCACAGGTGAAAATGACTTTAGTTAAAATTTTAGTATTGTCACATCGATCGAGAAATGATAAATTATCATCGAATTATAGAGCACTCTTTGAATTCTTACTAAGTGTATAGAAACAACTTTCCCGAGTCTTCTACAATATATTATCGTGTTGCAACTACAAATTTTGGTATGCGTTAAGTATCCTCGAACAATAGTGAATATTCTGTACAACTATTGATGTGTAATTCTATGAAAGGAGTTTTTCGTTGAAAAACTTCTTTATGAATTGAAGAATTTTAAGACAGCTTGTCCTTATGGTTTATCTAGACTGAAATTCGAATTAACTCGTTTCATATGGATAATAAAAGAAACCTTTTCAGGTGCCCCTCCATTTTCAATGATTTTTTTGTGTATAGATACTGTTCAATGTTTTAGTAAAAATATCAAAAGATTTGGGTTTCTATCACTTTTTTCAGAAATTATAAACATTCTAATTTTGCCTTTATAGTACATAACATATAGTGTGGACCATAAATAGCACTACAATAAAAACTGAAATATATGTACATCGGCTCAATCAAATTGGTTGATTTTTTGGTCATTGGTATAAGTTTATTCAAGGCTTTTTTCATGCGGATAAAATAAGCAAATATTACCATTGATTATCATTATTGGTAGCATAAAAGCAATTTTACCTGCTATCAACTAAAAGAAAATAAATGTTTCGCTTTTCATAATAGATGAGTTTGAGCTGTCATCTAAAAGAATAAAAACTAAGGACAAAACGAACTTTATGCATTATTCTGAATTGATGTACATAAAGCAAGTTTTTAAAACTAATCAATTTTAATACTGAAGTTCGTGCCCTATAAGTACGACACATAATTGTAGCTTTTTAAATATCACAACGCCAGCTCTCTCGCAAAAACCCGTATTCTATGTTTGAAAATTCAAAATTTTGTAACCGTTGACTTTTAAACTAACTACTTTTGAAAACTTACTGTATGTAGATCAATAGAGAATCATTCATAAAGTTTGTTTTTGACATGTTTCTCTTGTTCTCTTACATAACGACTCAAAATCATCTATAAAAGGCTAAACGTATGTTTGTTTTACTTGATAGTTGGTTAAATTGTTTTTATATCCGTAATAATACTTAATGGTAATATTTGGTTATCTTATTCGTATGAAAAAAAACCTTGAAGTAAACTTCTACCAGTAACCAAAAAATCAGCCCATTCACAGTTGAATCGATGTATATATATATTTCATTTTTTTTTATCATATTACTATTTATGATCCACACTATATATTATGCACTGTGGAGACAAAATTAGAATGTTTATCACTTCTGAAGAATGAGAGAGGGATCCAAATTCTTTAAAGATTTTTACTAGCACATTGAACAATATCTATAGGTAAAAAAAAATCACCGATATCGGATGGGAGTACCTGAAAAGATTGCCTTGCTAGTCTATATGTATTTAGAGTATCAAATCTTTGATCTTAAAAAATGTTTAAAATTTTTTTTTGGTTTTTTTCATTTGGAAAGTATTTCAAATACCAATTCAAGTATGATTCTGCATCGGATCAAATTGGTACGCTCGATAGATTCTCTCCGATTTTGGAAAATTAGAATAGCCTCTCTGTACTATCTATTCAGTATACATGAACAGCACACGTATCGAAGCAATCATAAGATAGATTTTAGAATTCGTAGAATTCATTAGACCTCATTTTTTTTTACTAGTGTAGAAAACTATATAAGCAATATCAAGTTTAGGAAACAATGTTAACAGGCGGCTAATCTAATATTGGTTACAATAAGTACGAAAACAGATTTTTTCTTCCTCTCTTACAATTATAACACATCTCAGATTGATTGACCCACGTCTATAAATAAATACATAAGTAAGAACTAACCTTTTAATTAGTAGTATGTAGCCACAAATTAAATTGTAGATCTATCGAAAAATTTGTACCACAAAGTCTAAAAAGTTTAGTAAAAAAAAATGTCAGAACTATTACTGAAGGACATCAGACATATTCGCATCGATGTGGTGGTCATATTTTATATAACAATCGAAAACAACATGAGTTATATTCCTCTTCCAGAATCCTCTTACAATGGAAAAAGAAGCTAAATGGTTTTAGCGATATGAAATAGACTGTTCAGAAAATAAAAAAGGCTTCCTTAAACGTTGAATGGCCGAAATACATTTGTAAATGCTCTAAATAGTACAGATCATCGTTGTCATACTATTAACATAAAAAACATGACTTGATGAAGTTATAACTTTAAGAAATAGTCAATACCCATGTCTCTGAGCTTATTGCGACATATAATAGTGTAGTGAGGCCTGCTGAGTTAAATCAATGGTTTGAGCAATAATTATGTTATAAATAAAGAAAAATAGAATATGAAAATGAAAATGAAAAACAACGAGCGAACAACAACAAGGTCAACTAAAAACACGAGCATCAGTAAAAAAAATTAAAAAAAGTATTTTTTCGAAACGCAGAAATAAATAAGAGAGAGCGTTTCTCTAGCAATCGGTTATCCCTCAAAAACTAGTGTTAGTCTACTACAGATTTTTCATTTAATGCATTTTCTATTAGCATAATGAGGCTCAAGAACACATGTCAGTTCTACATTTCAGTCTGTAAGAGATTGTATTGACAATTTTTTGAATAATATATAAAAAGAACGAATTACGGACTACTACTATACAGAACTTGTTTTTTTTCTCTTTTCTTTATACATGCAAATAATTATTTCATGTGATATATTTTTTTTCAATACTGGCATCTTACCATTCCAATTATACTTAACTGAATCAAATCGATAGGAGCTGCTGTTAGACAAATCTATATTTCTTTAGAAAAAAATATGTTGTAATTTTTATTTGCGTTGCCTTGATGATCTTGATATTCTACATATTTTACCTGCTTTTTCTTACAGAATAGAAAATGACCGAAGAACATTAGATGGGGCGGCATTTCTTTGGTTGTCGTTCCGCGTATTATTTCTTTTATGTTACGAATACTTATACGGCCTCTTTCTTAAATAGAATTTCTAGTAATACAATACTCTTATTGAACTTTGTACGCATCGAATGAATAAAGTCAATGAGTCTCTCTCTACTTTTTATGCCCTTGAGTATTGCATAGGTTTTCATCAGAATTTGACTTTTTTTCTGCTCAATCATAATGAAATTATTGTATATTAGTGTGCAGTTACATTGTTCGCAACCATATTGAATTGGATATGGACGTATTTCTTGTTCTAGCAAACCAAAATCCAAATATTCATACCTGTTCATCTCAACTAGACTAGTTTCTTAACAAACTTCTGAATTTTTTTTATGGAAGCTGGTCTAGTTGTGCTGTTTTTATACGCAATATTTCAGAGCGAAATTACGTAGTGTGCTCAAATATTATTATGAATCCAAAACTTGTTTTTTCAAGCTTTTGATCAGAACACTATTTAGTATCTATAGGGAAAAATTCATTGAAATCAGAAGGAAGCAGCTGAAGAATTTTCCTTATTACTTGTGTATTTTAAACTACCACGCATGCTCATCTAAAATATTCAAGATGACCGGCAATTGTTCAAAATTTATATTTTTGATGAAATTACAACAGATACGCTAGGGATTTAGAGAACAAATTTTAATATAGTCAGTTAGAAGCAGAGATCGAATCAAACTAGATTTCGTCAAAATTAGCGTGTTACATTAGATTCGGTATTGATGTAAATTAATACTGTTTAATACGCTTGCGCTTTAAAATGAAATTTTAATATTAATGTGGATGTATCACTGCATTTGTTTAGCGTTAATACCTAATCTTAAACAGTTACAGACAATTATTCAACACAATACAGAAGTATGATGTGGATATGAGTGTGGCCATCAGTTTGTTGTAATCCATATCAACGCCTACGTCCTCAAATTATGTGGCATACCGAGTTGTTTATCAGTCAATAAGCTTTTTATTTTTTCAAATATGAGGTTTCAGAGTGAGTTTCTGATAGATTCAGACATCAACAATGAAGTAATATCTCAAAATTGACTGACTCTTTGATGTGTTGTAGAGGATAATGAGTTATATACTTTCTGAAATTTTTAGCTGAATTGGTCGTATTTCTGAAGAGACATCGTCAAAATACGGATGATTTCTTCTAATCTTAATTTTGTTATTTATTGTTCAAAAAAATATATACTTTTTTCCAATAAATCGACTTCTTTTAATTTCGAGTCGAAAGAATTTTAACTCTTGGTTTTTTTCGGCAGGGTTATTTGTTAATTGTATTATCGAGTACCAAAATTCAGAAGTTTTTATCGAACACATGAATATTACGGTCGTATACAAGAATAGGTCTATCTATATGTTTTTCTTATTAATGGTATGCATACAAGTTCATCCGATATTTATGTGAATGTTATAAAAAATAAGTTGGGTGCGACTTGCGTTTAATATGCTTATATCAGGTGCTAAACTGTGGCGAGCGATGATTTGGCGATCTTTATTGAGGATGTATTCTTCTATTAATCATATAAAGTAGGTGCTAGTGAGATTCATTTTAGTCGTTCCTAAAAGGTTGGGAGTTGGGTGTGGGTGTGATTAAACTGAAGACTCCTACCCACGCCCTCGAGAAAAACGCGTTTGTGTGATTGTTGAGATTCAAATCCATCAGGAACACAGAATTTGATTTCAATCGTACTATAATTAGATTTTTTCTTTATTTTGCATGGCTTGTGTAGTTTCTTATCAGATAGTCCTCTACCATCATTGACTATCTTTTTCACTTCAAAACCTCTCGAAACATGAAAAACACTAAAAAGAGTCATGAAAAACGTCAAGTCGCCAATCAACTCATCGACAATCAAATGTGTAGTATATTAGTATTCTTTTCATTATAATTTATATAAGGTTACGTTCTTCTTAATATGAATGTTATATTCAACAAGAACGATAATCAAAGGTTAGATGTTCTTTTTCAACTTGAGAACCTCATTCTGAAAAATCATAGTCCATGATGAAGTATGATCATAGGAAACCTGTTATGTCATATTATAGAAAATTCATTGATAGCTAATTCTTTGGCAGAAAAAGTTTTAGAGTATCGGTTACAATACCTATGAATAGAGAACTGCGTGAACTACGCAAAGATAGTATATATTTCGAGAACGTTTTCACTACTCAAAGTATAATAAATATTTCTTTTAATTTTTTACATTGTCAAGAAGTTCAATAATAATGCAAATGTATTAAATTGTGTGATGTATAAATGTAAACTATTACGTCCCGAGACATATTTTTACATTATTGTAGCTTTCTTGTGAAATTTAAAACAAACAAGCTTTATGTTGGTTAAAAGAATCGAGCTTATCGTCGTGTGTATCACAAAAACAACAGTTATGCATACACAGTTGAATACATTTTAATTTGAAAATTTCCAAGGAAGAAATGAGAAAAAGTCAAAAAGAGTTGGATATATATTTAGAAAGTAAATCATAAAGGAAAGAGAACAAAACTCATACACCCACATCAAAGTTTCTAGCTAAATAAAAAAAATAGTCAACGCAAAGATGCAATCTATGATTGCCTTCACCTTTAGCAGAAAACGAATGAAAGCATAGAAAAAGAAAGAGAACGAAAATCAGATGCATCATAAATGAAAAAGCAAAAATCAATATAACTTTATTTTTCTATTCAGGTGTGTGCAAAAACATGGCAAATGAAAACATCAACAATATAACGAATGACTGTCATATAGTCTGGTTGGATAGTCATATTGAAACCGACAGACGAAGTCAAGATATAAGAGGACGTATACGACAACTGGGTAGAGGTTGTTTAGAGACATTTGTTAATCCAGATCAATGTATTGATGATATAACCACAGAACTGATAGAAAAAAAAGTATTTCTTATTATTTCTAATTCATTTGGTCAAGCTATTGTACCACTTATATATGAATTACCACAAATACAAGCAATATACATATATTGTCGTGATCAAAAAGCAGCAGAAATATGGTCTAAATCAATTGTAAAAGTTTCTGGTATTTTCACAAAACCAAAAGAACTATTACAAAAATTATCTGATGATGTCGATGTTTATAATAAAGATAATAATATACCAATGAGTATATTTCATCTTTCTGAACGAGATAAAACATTACAAGATTTAAGTAAAGAAAGTGTAACATCTATATGGTATCGTTTAATATTACGAGTTCTTCGATTAATGGTAAAATATGGTAATGCAAAAGCGGATATGATTACAGCATGTCAAGCAAGTTATCATGACAATAACGCTCAAAAGAGAAAAATAAATGATTTTGAAAAAGATTATTCCACAACAAGAGCAGTTTGGTGGTATACATATGATAGTTTTCTATATCGATTATTAAATAAAGCTTTACGTACACAAGATATGGAAATTATATTTAAATTTCGATTTTTCATCAATGATCTTCAGAATGAAATCGAAAAACTTTACCATGAATATTTAAATAACCATTCCTTTCAATCTAATCATCATTTCACAGTTTATCGTAGTCAAGTTTTAAGTATGACAGAACTCGAACACCTTCAACAGAATATAAATGAACTTATTTCGATGAATAGCTTCTTAAGTGCTACATTGAACTCAGAGGTAGCTGCACTATATTCAATTCCAGGTGATCAATTGAATGAATCATCAGCACTACAATCTGTGTATTTCATAATTGATGTTTATAATATAAATAAAGAAACGACGCCATTTGCATTTGTAGAACATCATTCGTGTAATTCAGATGAAAAAGAAGTACTTTTTTCAATGGGTGCTATTTTCAAAGTTCAATCAGTGAAAAAACATGATAATATATGGCATATTCATTTAGAACTAAGTAACGAGCAAAATCAACTTGGTCAAAACTTGTTAGATCATATGTTGGAACAAGTTAAATCGGAGCCAGGTCCATTGTCATTTGGTTGGTTTCTTTTTCGAATGAGTGAATTTGATAAAGCTAAAGGTTATGCTAAATGGATGATTCAACAACTTCCACCAAATGATATAGGAAATGGAGATGCTTACAATTTACTTGGTCTCATTTATAAAGATACTAATAAGCTCAATGAATCTATTGAATCTTATGAGAAAGCTCTTGATATTTATTTTCGTTTGGGTTATCAAAATAGTCCTCGAGCTATTGCTGTTCATTGTAGTCTTGGTTTGGCTTATTTAGCATCAGGTGACAGTCGAGCTGCAGATGAACAACAAAGACAAGCCGAAGAAAAGTTCAATTCATTACCAATAAAAAATCTATTACTGAAATCTAAAGTGGATAGTCTCAAAGCCAAACTTATGGCAGACTATGGTTATAATACAATAGCTTTAGAAAAGTTTGAACAGATTTTACAGAATAAAAGACAGAAATTACTAGCAAACCATCCTTCAATTGGAACAACGTTGAATGATATAGGTACTGTGTATGATAAAATAGGCAATAATGCAAAAGCGCTTGAATATTTTCAACAAGCATTGGATATTGGCAAGAAAAGTTTAACACCCGATCATTTGGAATTAGTTGACTATCATACAAATGTTGGTCATGTGCATAATAAACTTGGACAATTTAAACTTGCTTTTGAACAATTTTTATCAGCACTACAAGTTTTGGTAGAATACGACCAACGTGAAGATGAGAGAACTGCAGAATTAAAGACACTTATTGCTGACACGGAAAAAAAATTTTGTTAGTTGCAAATTTATTCGTGAAAATTTTCTCTTTTCATGATTTTTTTTTACGTACCCTTTTTTTCATGGATTTTAGAACAAAATGTTATATTCAAAAACGAAATAAAAAAAAATATTCAATATTTCCAACATATTCTATAGTTAATTAGTCTAATAGTGCAGACAAAATCAAAAAGAAAGGTTGACTTTCTAAACAAAACTTCATTAGATGAATCAATAGAAACTAAGCAATAGGTATTCTATTCTTTTAGTTTAGTGTTTGATAGCAAGATGTTAACCGATTTGCTAAGGGTACTACTATTTATAAATTACCAATCAATCATACTTAGATAATTCTATTTGAATGAAAGTTAAATACCTACGTAAGCATGTATCAATGTAAGTGGCCATATCAAGAAGCGTTTCATTACTTAGCAATGTACCATATTGAATAATAATTGTAATATTTCATACTGATGAATATTTTACTTTCGATAACCTTGGAAATATCGAATCAAATACTAACTGTTCCACCCATGATCATTCATATTTTTGCTCATGAAACTACGGACGATATATATTTATATGCTCTGGTATATTTTTATCTTCTCTTATTAACGTTCTAAAAAATGTACATGCATAAAAAAAAGGAAGTTGAAAGATATTATTTTCTCTTTATCTTAGAAATTGATAAGAAACGAATACAGTTTTTATTCTTTTGCATCTCTTATCAAAAACAAACATAATGAAGGATTGGGTGTGTGTTTTAGACTCTTTTCTTTGTCTAAACTCCACATGCACAATCACACTCTTCTCGTAACACAAGACAGAGAATTTCTCTTTATGGACTGCATTTAAAAATGATTAAAAAAACCTTAAAAAATATCCTATACGAAATGAATCACCAAATAAAATACATTTTCAACATGTGTTTTGATTATTTTTTTTTTTTCTTTTCCTTTTCACTGAAAAAAGAAACATGTTTTTATGATCAAATAAAGAATATCCTTGTATGCGGTCGTACTCCATACGCTTCGCATACCATTAACAAAATATTTGCATAAATGTCTATTTCTTTTTTTTACTTGGGTTATTAACGCTTCTTTTTCATCATATGATTTTAAAAAACAATTATCCTCATCAAAGACATAATACTACATGGTAAAAATCTGACAGTTTGTTGATTATTATAAGCAAATGATTATGTTTTATCATTTACTGACAAAATAAGTAGAAAAACAAAAATAACAGACGCGTCAAGGTTATTTGTTTGTCAACGAGAACATACAATTTTTTCTTCATATCATAAACTATCTTTTTCGTCAGTTGATTATTCATAACTATGTCTATGTATAATAAAACTCATCGAAGAATCATTATTTCTTTGATTTTTGTTGTCTTGATTCTTTTAGACGTAAATATATTGTATATTGTTCGATGACGAAATTATACGAAAAATTACAGGTAAAATTCTATTTCAGGAAAAATTAATCAAGAAAAATTTAGATTAAATCATAAATTAACCAATACAATTTTTTTGTGAATATTCATGTACTTCTTGCAGACTCATTTAAAATACGAAAAAGAATTTTAAAAAAATCAAAACAATACAAAATATTATTATTTAATTGAGATAAAATACAAAACATTTGATACTTCTCGTGAATAAATCAAAGATCTTAGTTTATTTCTATTTTATTTTTGTAGAACTTACTCACAAGTTATGAAGATAGACCTAAAGTAATTGTAACAGAACAAAAGTTGGGTGAGTTGGTATATGTCTTTCGTGGCATAGAAAAAGGCAGACCAGTATGGCGTTATGTTCTTGTGTCTGTTAGCAAACTCAAGGAATTGGAAGATCAGCATTCAAGTGCAAATATTAATGTTTTAGAGTTTGGCCGGTTGATCGAATACCTTTCTAATGGAGGTCAAATTAAACAAATGTTTGGATGGGGTTTCGATCCACCTAGAATAATTCAATTATGGATTGAAGAGCATTATGGTAAATAAAAATATCATTCTCCATTTTTTTTAGAGGTACAAATGCAAATTTTCATAGAGATCACAAAATAACTGAAGTTTAAGTTCGCCATGCCTTTTATGCTTTTCATTGTTCATATGAATTTTTAGCTCATTAAGAGAATTTCTTTTTCGAGCAAAGATTTTGAGTCTTTTTGTTTTTTTCTCACGTAGTTAATATGTTCGACAATCTTCTATCAAATGAGTAGATGTTGAGAAGTAAAAAAAACTTTCTTGTACCTGAAGAAAAATTTCAAAATAAAATTCATTCATATATATGCAGAAACAAACCTATATAGTAAAGCTTGTTTTGTATTTTTCTGAAAACTTATTTAAAAAGAAATTCAAATTTTCTCCGACGTGTTCCTACACGTTATGACTGAAAATGTGCTGAACTTGAATTATGCATCCGGATTCGTGTTTAGTTCTGAACAAAGTCTTCTTCAATTTATTGATAAAACTAAAGAGTAAAATTAAACAAAAAGGAAAACTACCACTTTTAGCTTAAGATAACTCCCTACATGATGACATAAATCAACGAAAAACTTAAAACAAGAAGACATTCGAAAGAAGGGTGTGAGTGTAGGTGCAGTGAGTAGAAATGATCTCTTCCGTGACATCCACACTCACACTCTATTTTTAAATTTTTTGCTGAATTCATATATTATTTCCGATTATAGAATTTTACGAAAAGAATTTAACAAAAACATTTGTTAAACACTAGAAAAATCTTTTCATAGATGTACCTTAGAAATTTTTTAGATATGTAATATTGCATAGCAGCTAAGAATCGACATTTCTATTGATCATTTGACATCGAATTTATAGAAATTTTTTTCATAAATAGCTTTTTATTTCATGATATATGTTATAGATCCAGCATCTATTGATGAAAATATTGATTTAATTTATGAGAAAGATGATATTCGATTATGTACTATACAACGCGCAGTACCACAACAGAAGTTAGGCTTTTGTGTATATTATCATCGAAAAGAACATTTTCATTATATCGAGTTCTATAATAATTGGGAATTAAGTCTGGCCTATCAAGCAGGCATCAAAAATTTTGATCGAATCATCGAACTAAACGGCATTAATATTGAAAAAGATACACCGTATGAACTACGAAATCGTTTCAATATTGACCAGAATCTTCCAGTACATATGCTTGTATGTAGTCCAGCTACATATATTCACTACAAATCTACTGGAAAACTTTTGCATAGTCATCTTCGAACTGTCCATCATTTGAGACCTGTATATGCTATATCAAGTAACTAACATGTGTTTTATTGTCTCTTGTTATTTGATTATTATTTCAATTATCGATTTAATTTTAGTGTTGGATTCGAATACAAATGCAAAAGAAGTTACTGTCGATCATCATAGTTTTTGCGCTGTACAGTGGGAAAACAGTTGCACTATTTCTACAGTACCTCAGTCAGCGATTTTCAAATCACCTGAATATACTCATGTAAATGATGTCTGTTTTATCGAAACGGCTGGACACTATCGAAAAGGACAAATTATTTTCAAAGGTTTATTATTATTGTACGTAGACATGATTTAAACAAAAAAGTATTTCTTTGTAGGTTTACATGATGATTGTGAAAAGTTGACAACACATCATTCAACTAAATCACTGATCGAAAACGTTCTCGATACAGCGGCTAGTTTATTGATTAGAAAAAAGCGATATATTTTGGATACAAACACAAAGGTTAGTCATGATTTTCCTATTGATAACTGTACATCTTCATCAAATGTAAAAATAACATTATATTCACGAAAAGCATTTGAAATACACTTTTTATGAATGAGTAGCTTATTTTCCAACAAATGCATAGATTCATCTTTAAACTCAATTGTAAAGCTATAATCAGAAAGGAATAAGAACTAGAGTCCTATTTGATATAGTGAATGTTCGAAAAAAAAAACAGATATATCTGACAAGAAATTTATGTATCATTTTAGAAACTGGAAATAGATACAGTGCAAGCCGAAATTGCTACTCAGAATGCAAATAGTGATACTAATGTAAGACAGAACGCAAATGATGTCCAACGCATTCAAAACGGTAAGTTGTAACTGCATACCATTATCAACAGAAAAATAAAATTTTAAAATAAGAAGCAATGAAAATATCTTCAAATAATGAACGTCACTTTCTTTTTTGGCCTTAAAATCGAGTCTCACATGAAAATAAAGTCTAATGTCATTATTAAAACAATGCTCTATAATCTATTACTGAAACACTTTAATAATGTCATCACCAAACACTTCCATTATGATAAAGGCTACATTTTAAAAACAAATTATTTTCACTTTAGATTCATGTACAACACTGGAACAGCTTCCAGACCAATTATTTTTCTATTTATTTACTTTCATCGATATTCAACATTTATATAGTGCTTTTTGGGGACTCAATAGACGGCTGAACAATGTGATTCAATCCTGTAAAAATTTATGTTTAACTTTTGATGAGAACACTGATTTATTGTCGATGCAATCCTATTCTCCTTATGTAAATGAATTAATAATCCAGATCTCCACTGATTGTGATTTTAGTCAATTTCCTAATTTACATAGATTGATATTATGTGATAGCAATCCGAAACATTTGTTTCAAATTAAGTCTGAAATCATTCCCAATCTGAAACATCTATCTTTATTATTAGGATCAAAATTCATTCCTCCACAGCAATTAATTTGTGATGTGTTCTCCAATAAATTTCCATCTCTTCGTCATGTTCATTTGGGACGTATCGATTATGCCACTTATCATTCATGGACTACGTCACCTTCTCTTCAGTTCGTGTCAATCTTTTCGTGTAAATCAATGTCTATTCTAGCAATTCTGACTTCATGTCCTAATCTTCATCATCTGCAAGTTCATATTTTTCCTAGTGACAATCATGTATTCACATCGTCTACACCACTTAATCATCCACTTCGACGACTTATTGTTTGGAGTAATTATACGGAACTATATTTTAATGATATTGACAGATTTCTTGCCTATACGCCTAACGTCGAATATTTATATCTACAAACAGTATATCGTACACCATTCATTCATTTAGCAGAAGGTCTAATCAATCGACTCCATCATTTGTTTCGATTTGATTGTTATATAAGAGAAATGTTGACCAGAGATAGCCGTATTGGTAATTTAGCTAGTATACATAAAATGCATTCATGTTTCTGTGGAATTCAATGTAAAGAAGAAAATGATAAATGTCGAATATTTTCTACTTAATGGTTTCTTACTGATAGGAAATAAGATTAAATAAATATTCTTTTTACAATACAAAACTTGGTTATTTTTAACAATCTTTTCATTAGGGTATCTCGGATTATACTGTGGTTTTTATGAATGGCACACTTCAGAAAAGTTACGCACTGGTGAAAACCTCGTCGTATGAAAGATGCGATCAACTGTGATATTCTCAGGAAGGATGCAGGTGTGAGTGTGGATAACGAACTTATACTCCTGCTCTCACTCAACCCGATATCTATTGGGTTGGTAAGAAATTTTTGTCGTTTTTTTTCGTAACTTCGTAGAACAGTCAAGAAAGTTCTAGAAGTTTCCATGCTAAGAGTATATAAAGGGAGTGTAAATATCTTTCGAACAACAATAAAACTATGGATATACAGGGTGTCTCAGAAGTAAGGGAACAAGAAGGGTATCTTCTAAAATTGAACGAAAAATTGTTTATGATAGTTTGCGCACTTTTTATTGATGTAGAAAGCTGAAATTTTCAGAAATAAAAGATCTTGGCTAGATACAGGTGTGATAAAAATTTCAGCTCTCCACATCAATAAAAAGTGCGCAAACTATCATAAACAATTTTTCGTTCAATTTTAGAAGATACCCTTCTTGTTCCCTTACTTCTGAGACACCCTGTATATCCATAGTTTTATTGTTGTTCGAAAGATATTTACACTCCCTTTATATACTCTTAGCATGGAAACTTCTAGAACTTTCTTGACTGTTCTACGAAGTTACGAAAAAAAACGACAAAAATTTCTTACCAACCCAATAGTATCTTATTTTTCTCATTTTGCCTTGGTCGTCCTTCTCGTATTTACAACCGAATAAAATAATTATCACTAAAAATCTTATCTTTATACGAGTGTATATTCATTTTCTTAAATGAAATACACTCATAAAGAATTCGGTTATCTCATTGTAAGAATCAGTTAACACTTAATACTTATTTCGCGACATTTTCACTTTTATCACACTTTGTATTGGTTGGTGTAAATTACACGCACAATATAGTGTAGAGGTGAGAACGCTGTGGAATATGTATAATTAAAGTAAAAATCTACTCATAAGCCTAGTTTGAATATGACGAGAATGATATCTACTATTTCCAAATTCCTTCCAGACTACGAAAAAAAATACAACGTGAAGCCTGGGTGCGATCTGCACTTAACGATTTTAAATTGCATTAATGAATGTGACCCGATAAACATTTATGCATCGTAATGTTTAAGTAATAATTATTTGCTGCCATAACATATAGAGAGTATGAATGCATGCCTTATAAAGAAAATTGAAAGAGAATAAGGAAAAAAAAACATTAAAATATATCCGAGCTATTTTCTAAAACTATTCACCGTAGAAAGATTATAGCATAATGCTTAACTTTTTTTCATATTTCATCAAGCATCAACCAACCGTCATTCTTATCACTGAAGCTAACAAAGACTTGGGCTTTGAAGTTGTGAAGAAGCGTGTAACAGCTTCAACAGATCCCAATAAAACTATTATTCTACTGGGAAGTTGTGATATACAACGAGGGCAAGACGCAATTTCTCGATTGGGTTCACCGCCGAATGTACACTTACTTCAGTTGGATACTTAGTCACAAGATAGTATCGCTCGTGCTACTAATGGAATCAAAGAAGAATATAATGGTTGTCTTGATATTCTCATCAATAATGCAGGTATTGCGAAGCGAGCAACAACGATCGATGCAGCTCGCGAAGTATTTGCTACAGAATATTATGGTATCAAAATGGTCAATGAATATATGTTTCCTCTTTTACGAGAAAATGGTCGCATTGTGAATGTGTCAAGTGAAGTAGGTTCTTGGACTTTGCATAGAGCATCGAGTGATCTTCAGAGTCAATATATGTCTCTGACATTGACAATAGAAGAATTAAATTAACTTGTCAAATATTTTTTTCAGTTATTGAACATGCACGATAAAGTCGATACACGTGGTTATAGTTCTATACCACCAATGTTATTTTATGGCGTATCTAAAGCGGCTCTCACTCGAATCGAAGCAGGTCAGTGGTCAGCGATGAAAAATGTTTTAGTAGTTGCTATGTGTCCCAGTTATTGTGCTACTGATCTTAATAATCATGAATCTGAAGCTCGTCCTGCCAAATTCGGTGCTGATTCTATTCTTTATGTAGTCAACATTTCGCAAAATGAAATTGAAAGTGGTATTTTTTTATCAAGATGGAGAAAGAAGTCGTAAATTTTTGCATGCACAATGGACCTATCCGAACATAAAGATCCTGAAAACACACGAGAAACACTAAATGTAAACAGAGATTGTAATCCACTTTAGAATATAATTTTTGACTCTGAAATAAAAACTAATGATAAGATAATGAAATCAAAGAAACTTCCAGAATGTTGGTAACCCGTTAGATTTTGATTCAATGACATGAAAATTCACTGTAGAAAATTGAAGAAAGTATATTTCGTGAGGGTGTCGATTTTCATGTTAAAAGCATTAAATATTTGATAACGGAGGCCCAACAAGGAGGTCCTGAGAAGATATGATCGGCAAAGTAGAATCCAATGTGACCATCGAATTGCGATCAAAGAAAAAAAAACTCTTTGATAATATTCTCATATTAGTATCACAGTTTTTCTCTGTTGTAGATCAATGTATATTCGAATATAATTACATCATTTTGAAGAGCGGAAAACTGTGAATACAAAGGATCGAATAGAACTAACATGAAAATTATTATCAAAGAATTTCTTTCCTTAGGCTACGATCTCATGATCATGAGTATCGTGTGCGATATGTTTGTACGTGTGTGCTGAATGAAGGTGGAAACTGACGAACGGTTGACAGGCTATCTATGCCTACACTCTCTAGTCACGCTGATGTTGAGTTATTTGTATTTTCTTGTTATTTCTGTTCTTTTATTTGTTTTTGTGGCGTGTGGATGAGAACGTTGTCTAAATCGATATCAAGACTCACACTCACACCCATTCTGTTATATCTATACGAACAGTGTTATATTACCGCGTCTTAGCGAAATAAAGTGCATAATATTCGTTAGTTCATCAGCAGGTATTTGAGGTGGTACGAATATGTCAATGCGAAGCGTGGTCACAGAAATATATTTTTCGAGATGATAGCGCTTGGCCATTGATACAGGAATCATAACATCCTGAGTACCACTCTGGTTATCTGTCATCAAAAGTTCGGTATTCAGAATGACAAACATGAAGTAGATTACGTAATATATTTCATCAATCATGAATCCAGACGGTCCAATAATTACATGACTAAAGCCTCGTTGTCGAAGTTCATTTATTCGTTTTTCGGAAGTTACCAGGCAGCTGTAGAAATTTGTAGGTCGATTATCCGAATGGAAAAAGTAAGTGAGATAACAATCCCATTGATCACCTTCTATTCGGATTGCATAGTGTTTTTCGTGATGCATACCACGTGCTCGACGATTGTAATAGTGAAATTACTATAAAATTGCTCCAGTTAGAAACAGCACTAACAGAAAGCTACCACCAACGACCAATCCTGGTTTATCGATTTGAGCGTAGATAATGATTAGAACAATACCAAGAACCAGGAAGACAAGAGTAGAAATAAGGAAAAAGTTCATAAATTGACGTAGTCGCTGATTGTTTGCAGCAACCAGCTGAGCTGCAATTTCAGGTTTCGAATCCCAAGAATCACTAATGGGATCATTGTTTGGATCAAGTTGCGAAGCAACGGTTTTCGCAGATGGTTTCTCTATTTTGATTGATGGTTCAGAGTCTATTTCTGCAACAGTATCTATCTTAGATATCGAATCGTTAGTCACTGGGATTATTTTAGCATTCATATTAGCAAAAAGAAGTCTAGTTGTCGACGCTGCTAGTGTTGAAATGAAAAATGGTTATGATTCTGAATTCAGTGACATGTAATCGTACTGAATAACAAAAAATCAACAAAAGTAAACACTAGATAACAAATCAGTTTCGTCATAAATTTCACATTGACTATTTACATTCGTAGGCGTTATTATTTTTCTTTCCTACTCTTTTATTCACAGAATACAACATCGACAGAAGATACCCACAAGTTATTTATTGTTTACAGTACGTATCTATGGACTGTAAAACGGTAAAAATTATCTTTTACTATTATAGTGCTTTTCGACGAAATATCTGTTGATAAAATAACTCTTGACGAAAAATATTTTAACGAATATGTTCCTCAACGAACTAATATTTTCGTATTCTCGTAGGTGATTATAGTGATGTAAAAAGTTTGAGAATGAGTATGATCTTTTTTCATATTCCTTGAAGAAAATGGTCAACAGTCACTCGTATGAAATGAAAAAAGTATATATAATATTAATTTAAATACTTTGCTCGTAAATAAATTATTATGATTTTTGATTTGATAACAAAAAAAAGTTATTGTTCTTTATTTTTCCGTCGTATCTAAATATTTTTTTTTATTTCTGTTTTAAAAGTTGATATCATTGAGAATCATGACATTGATTATGATGATATGACCAAAATGAGATATGAAAATTGAAGTTTTGTATGCCTCTTCTGGCAAATCAAAGATAAAAAAATCCTTATTTATGCAATGTATTAAGATTCAGAATCTGAAAAAGAACATAATAATAGTTGAATAATTAATAATATTATTTTAAAATGACTAATATGCTCTTGTAGATCTTGTAAATCATCAAGATAATGTGTCTACATGTTGTTTGGCATAATCGGTATAGTTTTTCAATCGATCTATCTGTATTTCAGTAACAATAAAAATTTTTTACATTATTAAAAAAAAAAGAATCAAATGTGAACGTCAATGATCACGACAAGACCCATCGTTAAATGAAAAATAACCTTGAATGTCATAAAATAACAATCTGAAACGATAAACAGAATTATATAATGACACAAAACATGCAGAAATATGACTGTATCAAACTTTTTGATTATGTTGTTTTTCATAGAGAACTACTATCAGAATTTTGTATTAATTTCATTCTTTTGATTGAAATGGGAAACTCTTTCTCATCATGTCTAGTTCATTTCTTTCTCAAATCTTACCATACATTGATAACTGTCATCAAATTGGCAACATATTTATATAATGCTAGACAAAAATATCAGTATGAACATTCAGAACTCAGTGATATTTATAATGTATTTAAATTATTGTGTTTATTAATTAAAGAACACATTGATTTTGTTTGATGAACAATATCATACAATATGCATACAAAAGAATGAATTCGAACGAAAAAAAAAAACCTGTGAATGTGATGAATTATCGTTATAACATTAAAATTGCTTTTTTTTTTTGTTGCTCCTCTTCATCTACTCAAATTAGCATAAGGATTACCAAGTTAGGTAAAACGCTTTTCTATTCGATACGTATGTATACGATAGACAATGTTTGCTTTTTTCGTTTGAAAAAAATATTATGTTAAATGCTTTGTAGTAATACTCTACACAAGCAGTCAGAAATTCGAAGTTCATGCGTTACAATAACCAACATTTTCTGCTACTTACACGTTTTAACTTTGGAGAAATATCCAGTTTTTTTTACATTTTAAAGTTGATATAATTTTGACTTCAATATCGTTAAAACGCAAAACATCAGACGCTTTTCATATGTTTTCATAGGTTAAGAATTCAGTATTTGATTGCTATAAAATACATTGAAAATTTTTGTCAATACTGAATATTGGCTATATTTTATGATGAGCTTTTCATAAGTACTTTCATATTTATCAGAAACAAAAACAACAAGAAAAAAAAAAGATCTGTTATATATACATGAAATGAAACAAGAAAATATGTAAAATTTTGTTTAAAAAGTCGAGTATATTTAGAGACTTATGTATATGTAAATCCTGTTTTTTTTCCTGATAACTGTGACCGTACTCATGGAAAGCTCATAATAAAGAATAACTATTATTCAATATGGAAAAAATATTCAGTGTATTTTATAGCAATTCTATACTCAATAATTTCTTGATTTATTTCTACTGATATTCCTAGTGGATGTATTTTTTAACACATTTCATGTGCTACTAATTTGTCGCCTTATGATAGCAAATGGAATGAGGATCAAAAATATAAATAGTGATTAAACATGTTGATAGACAAAATATCTTTGTTAAACTGATAAAAACTCGTTGATTATTGAAACAAAAAAGCCGTTTTTACGAATTTCATTCGTCAAGTGACGAGTTATAAAACGTTGGTTTCTTCAATTTTCTCCTTCAACGCATAGAAACAACGTTGATTTGTCTGCGTTGTTATTTTTCAAGTATCTATTCTATATAATATATACAAAAGTGCTGCGTAATTGATAATAGTTTACATTCCTTCAATTTTTTTCAAAATACCATTTATTCAAAGATAAGACCTTCTATATATATATGCATCAAGAAAGTGAAAAGAAAAAAAATAAGTAGAAAGAAATTGAATGAATGGTGACATACCATTTTTTGCATTATTTTTTTTATTTCGCACAGTGAGTTATCTATATCATTTAGAGCTACAAACTTTATTTATAATATTTATGAGAACTTTGAGTTATTTTGAAAATCATGCACATTAACTTTTTAGTATATTAGAATACAAATCGTTGGTGGTTCAATTCAATCTTAATTCATCTTTACACATTTACTATGAACAGTCATATTATTAGTTGATAATATTTACCATTCAATGCAAATCATATTATCTGTAAGTTTATATAGATTAGTCATTTAAGACAATATCTCATTTTTCAGCAAGATGAACATGATACTTTTGTAAAGTAATATAACGACGATGTTCTATGGTCTTTCTCAGACTTGATCTTCATTGTTTTCTTTTATCTATCTTTCTCTTTTTTCAATTGTTTCGTTAATAATGCCAGCAAAGCGATTGAAAAAGAGAGAGAGAGATGTGTGAACGAGAATAGGACTCATTAGAACTACTGCTGCCTTTCATACCGACTCTGAAAGAAAGTAGTAGAACGAAAATTGATCTTACTATTATCTTAAATGACATGATTGAGATCATAATAGCCAAATATTGAAATACGAAACACATCCATTAAATTCATGTTGACATTAGTCTAAGGTTGCGGTTTTCCAGTTTTGGTTGCACTTCTTTTTTATATAATATATTGTAAGGTCGATACAAAATGGTTGTAACTTCTCGAGGAAAACTTAGAAGAGTATTCATTGTAAAAAAAACTAACAATACTATTGAGGCTATTGGACCTTGAAGTCAAGTTATCTCTGCTTAGCTCTTAGAATTTGTTAGTAATTCATTTGACATTTCTCCTATTACATTCTTGGTGAACATAGAAAATATTCAATTATTTAATTTTGTATTTTTTTAAATATATTCATAAATATTTGAATATATGTATACGTATATAACTAACATAATTGTCTATAAATATTTTAATTTTTCTTTGCAAAATTTTTTAATGTTATAACTTCTACAGATCAATTAAAACAAATTGAAAATGAGTTCAAAAATTTGGTTTAAAAGTACAACTGGTTCACAAACAGATCCTACGAATATGTTGCAGCCAATGGAAGGATCTGTTATTATCCCGTTGGGTTTCTTTAATCAATTGGCATCAGCCTATTACAATACAGAAAATCGATATTTTTCATCAACTGATGCTAGTACGGCTCCAATTAAGAGTATGTCAAGAATACTTGAGTATAAATCTAAAACAATAAGAGTTTTTAACTATGTTTTAGCAAAGAAAGATGTGAAGTGTCAAACTGATATTGAATATGCAAATGAAAAAACATTGAAAATACTGGTCGGTTCACCATCATCTTTAACTCAATCAATAATATCTTCAAATCCCACAGAGAAGACAACAGTTGTTTACGGTAAAGAAATTAATTCTCGTTTCACATCTGATGACATCAGTTATGTATCTTATCTTTTAGATCAAAACAAAAAGAATCCATTAACAATTAACATTAACAAACAGCGACTATCAAATAAAAAGAAACAGCGAAAAAAACCATATGCTATTAAATCGACAATTACCAAAAGACCTCTAATAGAACAACAAAAGATGATATTGAAAGTTGATCAAATTTCAACTGCTCATATTATTCCATCATCATCGAAATCATCAAATGATGCTGAAAATGATAGAATAAGAAGAATAAAGGTAAATGAAAGACAAGAAAAATTTCGTGCTTTCGCTCTTACATTTAATGCATTAGCAAATATTGATCAATCACTGAATTCAACTTCATACAACAAAGAATTAGAAAAAAAATTCCTCACTACTCTATTACCTTCAATACAACAAACTGTATCCGAAACATTTAAAACCGAAGACCATCATCATTAATGAAGAAAAAAATAAAATAAAAACTCATCTATAATAAATCAAGCTCATGTTTAATACTTTTTCTTGTTTTTATTCCGTCGTAGTTCACATAAAATACATGAATTTTAAATAATAATTATTTCATTTATGTAATATCAATAAAATTCTCATATATATATTCATTCAAGACAAATCTTGATACTTGCTTTATGTGGGCAGAAGCGTGCAATAGTGAATAGTTCTTCAACGATACGCGCAGCCATCTTAAAGGGTAATGAAATCATAATGTCAAACTAACATGACAGTAATAAAGGATCAGAATAAAGGAAGTGACTATGTACACATATGTGTACATAGCTCGTCGGCTATGTACACACAGGTAGATATAATCAACATATTAGTAAATATGAAGTCATATTATAATATTATATGTATTTGTTGATTAATATAAATTAATTATCTAAGTTTTTTCATAGTTTTATTAATTCTTTATTACATACGAATAAAGTATAAATCATATAGAAAAAAAATTAAGTCAAATAAAGATCAATAATTCAGCAGCATTTCTAGTGCTTTCTCTCATTGGTTTTAAACGAAACAGTTGAATTTCATTATTTTAAATAGAATACATGATAACCATCTAGTGTTAGCGCTTATCTTCCCTCTTCATTATATCATATTTTTTTGTCGATCACTTATATAAAGAAAAATTTTATATCTTCTTTTCTTAGTTGATTGGTTTAAAAGTAGGAAACTGAAAAATAGAAAAAGTCAAATAACATGACATCTGAGAACATAATCTTTATTAAGATAGATTGATTTATCTTTACTTTAATCTTTTTCTCTATCGAGCTAATTAATAGTTTTTCAAATGAAATGAAATAAATTGATAATTGTTATAATAAAATGGACCGATTTCATATAACCTCATTTATAGTACTAAATAAATCCTCTTATATTATTAAAAAGTCTATCATAATCATTCTCAATGTCTGTTACAGAAAGGTATATGTTGCTATTATAGTTAAATCTAAGTATATTGTTTCGTGCTTATCGTAATTCTTCAACCAGAAAAATAAAGCAAGATAATTATTCTCTCTTTAAAAAGCAGTTTGATAGTTGGGCACATTTTGAGAAAGAATTTAAAAATTGGTGCATTAATTGTTATCAACCAATGAATATAAAACGTTCTTCAATGAAATATAATGAAAAAATAACGAGAGAATTATTTAACTATGTTCAATACCAAAATGTAATGTATGTATGTCATCATAGATGTCCTGTTCGAAGACATATAAAAGATGAATCAAGACCAAACCAAGAATCGGCTCGATGATATTGTGAATTTATTCTCTTTCTCGTAGAGAAGAGTCTTGTGAGAATAAATTGTTTGTTTGCTTGCTTGTATGTCCGCACTTCAGTGATTGGTCCAAAAGAAGGTGAAGACAAAAAGGATTATTTTCCATAAAGCTTGACCGAAGGATAATCGAGGATGAGGAGTTCGGATCTGCGGTTAGTTTTAACTAATTATTAACTAATTATTGATTATAAATTAATTAATAATTAATATTTTTAATAAAACTTGACCAAAAGATAATCGAGGATGAGGAGTTCGAATCTAAGACTAGTTTTAACTGATTATTAATTAATTATTAACTATTCATTAATTATTAATGTTTTCTGTAAAACTTGGCCAAAGTTTATCGAAGAAGGGGAATCCAAATCTGAGCTCAGTTTTAGCTAACTTATTACTAATTAATTATTAGCTAAATAATAATTGATTATGAATTATTATTATTTTTCGTAAAACTTCACTGCGGGTTATTGAAGGTAAAGAATTCAAATCTGATATCAGTTTTAATTAATTAATTAATAATTAGTTATTAACTAATTATTAATCATTATTATTTTAAATAAAAATTCACCATAGGTAATCAACGATGAAGAGTCTAAATCTGTGATCCGTTTCCATTAATTAGCTATTAATTAATTAATTAATAGTTATTTGTTTATTGTATAAAGCTTCATCAAAAGTAATCAAGAACGGGTGATTTGATTACGGGCTCGATTGGAATGATTCAATGATTTAGAGAGCAGGAATATGAGTGAGCCAGAGATGAATAACATATGTATATTAAATGAATAATTTGCTGATAATAAGAAAATAGTTCTTCTACGAGAAAGAGCTAAGCGAGTCCATAGACGAGCGTTACTTGTTTTAAAACGCTATACGGAATTAAATAAAATTGTTTTTATGAAAAATCAAAATTTAACTCATAACGATCCAAAAATGAGGAAGTTTATAAGAATTATTCAGTTTAAACAGATAAAGCATTAGAGATAGAGATGTTCCATCTTTAATGTTTTATGATCAGATATCTTTTACGTGATCATTATGTTAAATGTATTGAAAATAATGAAATTCAATTGTTTCGTTTAAAACCAAAGAGAGAAAGCACTAGATATGCTGTTGAGTTGTTGACCTTTATTTGACTTATACTTTATTTGTATGCAATAAAGAATTAATAAAATTATGAAAAAGCTTAAATATTTAATATATATTAATCAACAAAAACATATAATATTATAATATGACTTCATATTTACTAATATATTGGTTATATCTACCTGTGTGTACATAGCCAAAGGGCTATATACACATATGTGCATATAGTCAGTCAGCTATGTACACTCGTGTGTACATAGCCAAGTGGCTATGTACACATATGTGTACATAGTCACTTCCCAGAATAAAACTGTAGAACTGAGCAGAAATGTGAATGGAAGTGAAGAGAAGACCGACATTTACACCCCACCCACATATCTTTTTGTGCTCTGCTATCTCCATTATAGTGTGGTACTATGACAACGCAAGTCAATATAAAGTGGTATACTGGAATTTTCTCATATTTTTTGGTGTTTACATACATCTGTTCTCTTAGCAAATCTTATTTTAGTTTAATATATGTTCAATAAAAACATTACATTTTCGATCTTTTATTTGATCATACAAGAAATTATAAATAATAATTAACAACAAGCATAGCTTTTATATGTTATTTAACCAGATCATATCCACATGCCGCATCCATATATGCATTCCATTTTGGTTCGAGTATTGTGTACAGCTATCATACTTATGAATACATCATAGTCTTCTCCGTCAGTGCTAAAAGTCACCAGAAAACGCTTGAAAAACTTAACGTTAATTTGTTCAATTATGAGAGTTCAGTAAAATCTATTTAATATCATGAAATCTCATACTAAAATCAATAAAGTATAATGCATTATAAGTCAGATACTTTGTTATATCTAGTCTCGGAAATTGCCGATCAATATTTATCAAATAGTCCGGGACACTTTCAAATATTGCTGGAGATCAAATAAGTATGCAGATAGAGATGTTGAGTAAAAAAAATAGCCATGAACATGTATTATATAGGTCGGAACATACATTGAGTAGTGCTTGAAAACGTTAAATAGTCCTTGAAGTTAAGTAACTACAAATATTTATTACGTAGTGCTGGAAATCCTTAAATAGTGTTTGAGATTAAGGAATTATTCACTTCGAGATATTGACACAAATGAAGAGCTGCGAATACGTGTCAAATATCTATAAATAGCTATTAAATATCTACGAATATTTATTCATTACCGGAGGAGATCTTTGAATAGTGCTTTACATTAATGAGTTATATTCAATGCGAGATACTGGAAAAAACCTAGATAGTTATGAATACATAGATGTTGAATAGCTACGAATATACTCATTAAGGAGCTATTTAGACAAAGATACTAATCAAAATAAATATCTATGACAAAATATTAAGTGCAACGTAAATACGAGAGATAGAAAGACGTTCTCGTTGGTTACCGATACATTGTGTATTTCATGGTAATCAATAATATTTATAACAATACTCCATGACTTTGGTTGTGCCTGCGTCATATAGAACACGAGCTTATATACGATAGACGAAACAAGAAAGGAAAGAGTGAACAGGCATATAAGACCGTTTATGAGAACGGAGCGTCTTATTGCAGAATGACTTAATGCTCTGACATCATTGTACCGATAGAAGATCAAGGTAGGTCTCTCCCTTATTATTGACACATTAAATCTTGACGGACATGCATTAGGTATTACTGAAAGTCTTAAAATATTGCCTGATATTAACTTCCTATTCATTTGGAGATCTTGAAAAACAAATAGATATCACATAGTTACGAGTATTGAATCATTATTTTTGGATATCTTTAAATATTGTTTGAAATTAATTATCTTTTCAGTTAGATATGTGAAAATTCAAGAAATAATTAAGTCTACATTACGATGAACTATATCTATGCATAATTCTCTTAAGAAATCTTTGTTGTCTATTTTTATCTGTATTCTGTATACAGAAGTCGTATCTCTTCCAAAAATGAGACGTAGAATGCACCTTGTAAGTACCGACAGGATGTATCATTGAACATAATATGCATTCCCATATCAAATGCTAACTCTAGCACGTGAAAGTAGTTGATGAGCATATCCAATTATTTTATTTAGAAGGCCATTGAGTTTCTAGAAAGAGAAGATTAGTTTCATTCAATAGAAACAGTCGAAAGTCGTCATATCAAATTTGGTATTTTACTTTCTCTTCAAATTCCATCGATCGCTTGTTATTTCGTCTTAATATATCGTGGTATATCCAATCGATCTACGCTACGAGCACTTCAGAATCATGCTCCACTTGTCCTGCTTTTCATCGGTTTTATTGCTATCGCTGTCGATCTCTCCATGATTCTCAACTTCTTACATACTGGCGTTGTCAGTCTCAGTATTGATGTATGTTGTCACATCTGGAATTTTATCGACTACATTCTCCATGCCTTTGTTTCTATATTGATGCTTTGGTCATCAATTGAACGACATATTCTTATTTTTCATCAATAACAATTGCTCAATACACATAAAAAGCGTTTCTTTGTGCATTATGTTCCTCTTGTTGTCATTTTCTGATATTGTATTTTGTTCT